TCAACATGTTTTTGGACTGTGTGGGAGGAAGCCGGAGAACCCGGAGAGAACCCACGCTGCACGGGGAGAACATGCAAACTCCACGCAGAAAGATCCCGGTGCCCCCACCGGGATGCGAACCGGCGACCTTCTTGCTGCGAGGCAACAGTGCTAACCAACTGTGCCACCTTGCAGCCCGCTGTCAAATATATACCACGTAATTTCTTGTCATTAGCATTTCAATTTTCAAACAATATACATAATAAATACATAATATCACATTTTGAAAATATGTTTAAATGCATTATGTATATGTTCATGGACCCTTTCCAAGAAGGTCTAATGACTTTGCTGTCAAGCATCTCTTATGTGTCTGTTGTTTATCTGTTATCCGTTCTCTCACCCCTTTAACCTGCAGACGGCAGACGTCCCTCAACCTAGTTCTTCTGTTTCATTTTTCACCAGTGTGAAAAGGGTTTCCTTATTAAACTTTGGATTTATTGAGTTTCTCTTTATACATTTTGCAAACCTTACTGTGTGAAGTGCCTTGAGATGACATCTGTTGTGAACTGGAACTGTATAAAATAAAACTGAATTGAATTGCATTGAAAGCATCTGACAATTATCCTGCAAAAAAAAGAAAGAAAGAAAAATAAGAAGTGTTGTAAAGATGAGAGAATTTGTGGCTGAAGATTGAAGTGAAGCAGCTGCAGATGTTGACAACTTAGAAGCTGAAGGTGACCTTTAACAGAAATATGTGTGAGCATGGCCCTGAACATGCCACGAATTAAAAGAGCTGTGCAGGTTTAGCCTACATTAAAGAGTAGAATATAAAGAAGATATATATATTTTGGATTTCTTATAATCCAGGCTTGCTCTATGTAGGAAAAAAACAAAGCGTGTGCTTCCTGCAGGCCACATGCACAAGCTCAGGCCTCACAGTAAAAAATAGCACCCAGTGGTCCTGCAGGGTCGCCTTAGGGTGACAGCAGCGCACATGGTGGCTGGTTGAGCGTGTGGCAGCAGCTCGGCTCCTCCTCTGCGCTTCCTGAATGGACAAAACACGCTACCTTGGGTCCACGCCTCCCTTTCCTCATCCTCAGCTCTACCTCTTCATCGGGAAGCTCTCTGCAGCGTCTCGGTACTTTCATTGAGCGGTGATTGGAACCCGGCCGAGCCGCGCAGCGTCACTTTAAAGGAGCCTTCTGAACCGAGAGGAAACACATCACCGCTTCCAGCTGCAAGGTTCAGGCTTCTCCTTTTTTTTTTTTTTCTTTTTCTTTTTGTGACCCACCGACTCCTTGACTAGCACCTCTGTGCCCGGCGAGAACATTGTGTCCTTTTGTAAGTAGAGGCAAAAAAAAAAAAGAAAACAGAATGACAGCCAGGCATCGTAAAGGAAAAAACAACCACAAACATGAAGATAACTTTTTCAAAAATGAAGTCATGGAGACAGAAGTGCGCTCTGGAGGAAACAACTACGCGCTTCTGTTGATTCTATTCCTCATTATAGTAATTGGAGGTGCCACTGGAGCGTGGTTCTGTTTCCAGCAGCACCAAACTTTAACCTACTTATCTGACAATCTCATGGGCATGCAGATGAAGATAGTGAAACTACAGTCCTCCCACGAAGAGATGAGACAGTCAAGTAATAAGGTAAGGAGATAAACTAGTTAAATTCCCTGCTGAGAATCCCCCCCTCCTCCTGTCAGCCTGCAGCCACTAGCAACACCAGATTGTCATGGCCTAGATCCTGTTATGAATGCACCTTATTTCCCTGGGCTTATAATTTAAACAAACACTCCAACAAAATAAGAAAAGGCCTCAAGCACATGTCCATAGTGCACGTTGTCAGTGGCAAGCAGGGAAAGTTGCAGGCCTCTATCAGATTTCAGAATGCCAAGGGCCTCACTGGAGTGAGTACAAAACGCTGCTATTTCTAACATCCACACAGCTGCTGGCGCTTGTAATGAGGATTATTCAGGAGCTGCACATGCACGGACACTGGCTTTCTCTCTGACTGACATATATTCAATATTTTCATCTTAATTCTCAGTGGAAAGTGTGTATTATAGTAATTATGCTTCCAACGTTGTGCAGAAGATGCTGCCCAAATACTATTAAACCACACAGTAATGTGCCAAGGCTAAATTTAGTCTGTGTTTTTGATACTGAACACCAGTTCAGAGGCTGTTTACGGGGCATCTGAAAGTTTGTAGATAAGAAAGTGAGCTTTGTTCCACTTGTATTTCTGAAATGACACTGTATCTCTAAATATAAGCACCATTAATAGTGTTAGGAGTTCAACAAATGCACATATTCTTAGTTTAATGTATAAGCATGAACCTCTTCAGTCACTAAGTATAGGTTTGTAGCTGCCTTGAGCTATATTTTCGCGTAGCTACGTTTAAGATCCAGGATACACTTGTAGGACGTTAAGCAGGATTTTTGAAAAATACTTAACCTACATAAATCTGCTCCCGAGGGAAGGCAGCCTTCTGCAACCCCACCTTCAGTTCAGGAAAGTCAATGTGGCAAAAACTTTGCATAACAGCAGCTCTGCCAGCTCGGTCTTGTTTGGCAAATATTTCCTGTGTGAGCAGTAAACTGTTTAGTGACTCATGAATCTGCAAAGTTCAAGGGTGCTGCGGAGAAATAAATTAATTAAAAAACAATTATGCAGAATTGCTGCACAATCCAGCTCTGCAGCTTTGCAAAAGCGCGACCGTCGGTTCATTGATCTAAGACTGGCTCCTGGTGAACATAAGCGAGGGGGAAGTTAACATCTCGTCACTTCACTCTGCATTTTATAGGAAAATAAAATTTCACCGAATGCCTAATGCATGATCAGACTCTTACTGATTGGTTTAAAACAGATGTTCTTCCTCCGAGCATTTATTTGATTGACTGGAGTTGTAATTTAGAGAGAATTTAAACAATCCTGGCCAACAGGATTCTAAGAAATGACTGCTCCTGCTGCTCATGCACACATCAGTAGTTTCAGGGCTGAGTAGTGTATCGACCTCAGTGTTTAACTCTCCTCCATTTATTTTATTCACTATTTTACTTTGATTTATTACACCCTACAATGGAGGGTAATGGAGGAGGCAATGTAGTGCATATGAGTTAATTACTATAAAGAACATGGAAAATTACCATAAAACTGCCCTTGGCTGTTCACAACTTAAAATACAACAAAATCGTTTCATAATAGGTTATGTTAAGAGACTGTCAAAGCGCCAACTTGGTGCAAATTGGAGTCACTCGTCTTGACTCAGCAACACCTCTGTGCGTCTCATTGCAGCAGCATGTTTCTGGGAGTGTGGAAGCCCGCCTGAATGCCCTTGAGGAGTCTTACGCACTGGCCCAGAAACAGGTGGGCATGGCCTTGGCCACGGCCGAACAGCTCAAGACGTCCGACCTCCCCGCCCAGGTGCTGTCGCTCCACACAGAGATGAAAGCCCGCCTGGCGGAGATGCAGCAAGCCACGGTGTCTCTGGAGCAACTGAGCCAGCTGCAGAGCATGCTGAAGGGGAAGAACGAGGAGTTTGAGGGTGTCAGGATTCAGGTGGAGGGTCTGGCCTCACTGAGCGGCGAGCTGTCCCAGAAGGTCGAGGTCTTGACGGGGAGCCTGGGAGAAGCAGAATTGAAGCTGGACGAGAGAGCGGGTCAGTTTGCCACGCTGAGCGCCACCGTGGACGGGCAGGCTGCCGAGGTGCTCCGACTGAAGGAGCAGCTGGGCGCCCACCAGGCTCAGCTGGAGGCCAGCATGCTGGAGATGACTACTGTCAGGTAGGTTGGGGACAAAAGAAAACAGCAGCTTTTGGAGAGAAAATAGCTCACCTCCTCTGACCCATAACTTTATGTTGACTTTGTGGAAGCCCTGTTGGCTGCCTCTGTCTGCGTCTCTGTGTTACACTGTGCCAGTGTTGGTAGGCCTCATATTCACACTGTGAGATTGTCCGGATCTGTATAAACATTTCCTTTTGTATTGATAAGTTTTGGAGATGAATGGCTTGTGTAAGAATTTCTTTGTATGTAAAATGGGCACTCTTTGAAGCTAATGAAAACATCAGGGAAATGTGGTTCACAGGCTATTGTTGCCATGTCAGATTTGAAGTAGGCAATGCAATTAGACCGTGGGTCCTTTTTTTGCAAAATATTATAACAGTAAAGGTTCAGGCTTCATGGAGCTACACAGTTAATACAATATCATTATGAAAGGACTCATTTTCTGCACTGCCTGAAGGATCATTTGACACAATGATGTCCACTTACAGATTCTCACTGTGGGTATCTTCTGTCTTTCAGAGAGCTGCTTAAAAATGAACAGTCCCAGCAGCTCCAGCAGGCCAGTGTTGAGGAGCAGCTCGATACGGTACGTCAGAGTCTGCAAGATCAGAACTCAGCAGCCCAAAGCCTCCACTCTGAACTTGGGGCTCAGCTGGAGAGCATACAGAAGGAGGTTACACAGGTAACCGACGCACCAGTCAGTCAGATTTAACCTGATCACAGGACTAAATTATAATTTTGCTTCTTTACACTCCTTCACGCAGATACTGTTTCCAAGTCAGGTAAATTGTTAGTACATGTTTCGTTGTGGTTTAGGCAAACTGCACCAGAGTGGCACATCTGGGATATTTGGTTGACATGGAGTAATATGACACGGCAGTTGTTTAGGTTGCTGTAAGCAGCCTTGAAAAAACTTGCATGACTTGTGTAACCTGCACACAAGTCAAGTCAGCACTTTTCTGTACAGCATGTGCCAACGAGCTTTCCATTAAAAGAAAAAACAACAACAAAAATGAGAATAATATAATTGCTTTTACAAATTGAATGAAAACTTTCAATATTGGAACCCTACAAAAATATTTAAAATACTACTTTACCTGACTATCGTACATTAGAGTAATACAGTGCTATTGATTGTGGAGATTAACCTAAGTAATTTAGACATTAAGGCTATGACCATCCATCCATTAGCTATGCATCGCTTAATCCTCACTAGGGTTGCGGGAGGCTGGAGCCTATCCCAGCTGACTTAGGGTGAAGGCAGGGGACACCCTGGACAGGTCTCCAGTCTATCACAGGGCTACAGAGACAGACAACCAAGCACACTCACATGAAGGCTAAAACCCCACAGCATAAATAATTCTGGAGATTACCATGACTAGTTTGAGCTAACAAAAAATAAAAAAATAAAATGAAAAAAAACATAAAACTCAACAAAACCAAGGATTTATTAGATCACCTATGAACTGGAGTTTTTAAAATATATGTTTTATTATTAATGTTTTTTTGTTTGTTTTTTATTAATGTTAATACATTTCAACAGAGTTCTGATTGTTAATTTTTTTTGATCCAAGTCATCAAAAGAGCCGGTTGAACCTCTGAACAAATCAGAGGTCTGTTACCAAATTAAAAACATAATTTTCTTCAAAATAAATAAACAACTATTTAAATTGAGCTCATAGATGTAAAGAAAGTATGCTCCATTTTCAAGATATAAAAGTATGTTTTCAAAGTGGACAGTTGTGGTGCATGATTAGATTATACTTGAACTATAATAGCAGAAAATGCCTGACAGGCCTCAGCACACATCCTGTCAGCGCACATGGTCTCTTTACTATTTCTGTTCACCGTGTGTCCACCGGGAACCATAATGAGATTTTCATCTCGTGCATTTGAATGAGCTAATTGCCTGGCAGGAATTCTCAGTTGGATTCATATCTATACTTGTATTCATACAGCACAGATCTCTGTTTTGTGTCTCATCCTAATCATGTCGTGTTTACTGAGACACCTGGATGTCCAGATTGCTCAGCAGAAAATGACTTCCTGTCAAGGATTCAGTCTACTGTGGTCTAATGTTGTCTTTCTTGTCATAGATTGTGGGAGAAACTCAACCTCCTGCTGAACAGACAGAGGAAGAAACTGCTCCAGCAGCTGAAGAAGAGACAGCTGGAGTGACTGAAGAAGAAGAAGAAAAAGCACTTCTTCCAGCTGAAGAAGAAGAAAAGGCAGAAGAGGAAGAAGAAGCAGCAGCTCTTGATGACTCTGTGACAGAACAAACAGAGGATGGGGAGGCAGTGACGGAGGATGAGCCAGAACAAGAGGAGTCAGCTGATGTGTCAGAAAAGGAGGAGGAAGACACAGCACAGACAGAAGAGGAGGAACAAAATGTCAAAGAGGAGACACCCGAAGAGAAGAACCAGGTAGCTGATGAAGAGGCTGGATTAGACGGAGAGGAAGTTCAGGAGGAGAGCCATAAAGCAGAAGAGGAGAAGGAGGAGGCTGCAGAGGAAGAAGACGATGAAACGGAAGAGGAGACGGCATCCGAAGCAGAGGAGGAGCAACCTAATGTAGAGGAAGAAGTCTTAGAAGGAGAGGAAGAACAGCAGGACGTAGCAGCTGAGGAGGAGCCACAGGAGGAGGAGGATGAGGCAATAGAAGATGATGCTTTACCTGAGGACAAATGTAAGAAAAATGGATTTATTGACATCACTGCATTAGATATAAATCAAATATTGTTTTTGACTAGACTGTTGTGCTCTAACTATCCCTCATAATGTCTTCTTTGTTTTTTATTTACAGAGTCCATGTTGCCCGAAACATCCGTCAAGCAGAATGGGAACTTTCTCAGACTAACATCACTGTCTACAATATGACAAATACTGTAGGAAGGCATTATTGATTGCTGTTGTTTAGGTGCAGTATTCATCGTGTGGTTGCTCTCTGAAAGGCGGACCTGCTCAGAAGAATTAAGTCACTATGCTGGAGTCGGAACTGAAACTCGTACCTCAAAATCTAAGATGGCTGTCTAGTAAGGAAGTGAGTCATTCAGGGTTTAACCTGCCAGTAACAACCTCAAAAGCCTTAATCCATAAAAACAATGCCTGTGTTTCTAGAGAGAATATTTCCACTCTTCACAACTCACACTTTTGTTTTTTTGTTTTTTGTTTTGGTCAAAGTTCTGTACTAAACTGGAAAACCAAAAGCCAATGAAATAACAAAAAGCCAATGCGTAAACTGATTTATCAGTGCACTTGAAGCCATAAATAATGCCTGTCATGGTGACACAAAAGTATGTTTCTTTTTGTCACTGCCTGAAATGCATCATGAGGAAAAAGAGCAGCAGTTTATTTTGTATGTTTACACAGGCGAGACTGCCAACTCTAGAGCTCGCAAAAAAACAAAACAAAAGAAAGGCATCTTTGATAAGTGAAACAAGAGCAATTCCTGAATGTTTTTAAAGTATATTACATACTGTAGTTAGTAAGATTGTCTTTTTTTTTTTTTTTACTCTTAAGTGCATATTTGTGGTTAAGTGCTTAAAAACTGGAGGTTTGCTTAATATAGTTTGGGTCATTGTCTCTTTTTTTGCACTTTTTTAACTGATTACAATTCCAGCCAGACAGAACACACCTGTAGTATTTTCAGATACAGTGATGTGATCTAAAAGCCTGAGTCCTCTGCCAAGAACTGTTTGGTTCCAAGATCAATATTCTACTACTTTTTATGAAAAAAGTAAATAAATAAATACATACTTTCATTTCGAGGATCGTTAGCAAATACCATCAGATAGTTCATGCATTAACTTCAGAAAAAAACAGCTACATTCAGACTGCAAGCAAAAGTCTAATTTATTGTTTTTCTTCCTCATATGTGACTCAGATTAGTTTTTTAAAAAAATTAGTGGTAGTGACAGTGTGATCAGCACAAATCACGCTGAATGTAGCCTTTTTCAGTTCTGATTTGAGCAACTTTCACATGTGGTCCTAAATCAAGTCTGATTTCTTGCAGTGCAGCCTCAGTCTGGAATTTACCGCTCTAGATCGACAATCATCACAACACTTTGCTAGCAGGAGTCACTCTGAATACAAAAAAAATAAATAAAGGACAGCTGTGATGGATATAGTCAGTGGAGAGACTGTGAGATGTTGGACCTCATAAATATTCAGCATGACACTTCTCATGAACTCGCAGGCTTCCACTGCACATCCACTGATCAATGAAACCGTGAACGCTGATCTCAGAGGCCTTCGTGTTTACGACAGCGTGCTGCGTGTCATGTCTACTTTAGTTAAAAAAAAGAACAAAAATCAATCTGAGCAAGGAATCTGAATTGGGCATTAAGGCTTGCAGTGTGAACGTAGCTTAAGTGAAGCACCTCAGGGACTAATGGTTTTCCACATGGACGGAAAACTTTTGCGGCGTTGAACTGCAGCTGATTTACAGCAGTTTGCAGGTCATTTTCATTCAAAACCGTGATCAGACCCAAGTTGTGCACAATAACTAAATATCAACACACTGTACAAAGTCAACACATTCAGTCAGAAGACAGCTTGTTTTCAGGTCACATTTTAAATGACAAAGTTAGTCTTTTAACCAAATGGTACCGAAACATTGCTGCTGAAAACAGTAACTGAAAGTATACATGGAGCTTTGGTGAGCAGAAAGCCACAGGAGAAGTTGTATACAAACAGAAATAGCTCATATGTGCAGGTTCAACTGCAAGAGAAACAGAATCACCACTTGACTCTGCAGAATCACTTCACACTTTGTACCTTTAGGTGGTGCAGAAGAGAAGCTTTGCAAGCAGGACACTGACTCTAAACATGGATCCAAACTCTGCCAGGACACTGCAATCCGTTGGAGGAGCGAGGATTGCCGATGTTTGTGCCTCTACCTCCACAGTCACCATTTCTACCCTGCTAAACGTGTCTGGAAAGGAAAATGGGGCAATAAAAAGGACAAAACACACAGTCACATCAGAAAACTTTCCCTGAGATGCTCTGAAATCAACCTTAATAATGTGAATTCTCAAATAATGCAAAAACATGTTGAATCCCTGTGATTAGGGCAAGGACTTCAATATCAGATATGTTGCTATAAAATGACCTCTTTTGAGAAATGACAGATGTGTGTGTATTCATGTTTCACAAACACGGCGTATGTTTCTGATAAGTTCTTGGGAGTGTAGTAAGACTTTTAGATACTTCTGTACATTTTTACTAAAACTGACACTGAATGCACTGTTTTTGCCAAGGCAGTGGTTACTGTCAGTCCAACACTTCACATGTTTTTAAAATAAACCCCGGTTCTTTCCCTTTTGAATGCTTGATTCTGTGCTGTCTGATCTTTTTATGGTGAGAATGTCGAGGTCGCAAGATGCTCTTTTAGTTTCGTTGCTACTAGGATTGTGCTGCTGTTGTTAGAATCGCAGAGATGCTGGAGAATGAACACCTGCTGATAAAACCCTGAGCCTCTTGTTAAAGGACAGGCTGCCATAATTCAATTATTGCTGCCAAATCCCATCAAAAGAACAAAATCATCAATGAAATGATGCAACTAATAAATAGTGCCTGCGTCCCAAGAGCCTATTGCTATCACATAGTGCTCCAGTATTGCTTAAAATTATTTTTAAAAAGACATCTTGAGCCACCCTGTTGCATTGTGCTCAGTGGCATGCTCTGTCATTACCATGAACACAATGAATACCAGAGAATCAACTCTTTACTTCTGTTTGCGCAAAAGAAACTGCAGCACCAAGCTCACATAAGACATTATTTATTAGATATTTGGCATCCTTTTTTTTTTTTTTAAAGATTTAGGAAGTTGCCAGCTTGAAAATGTGGGCTTGGCACCAGCTGAGGTTAGAAAGTACTGATTTTATATGTTTAACTGGACTTGTTGACAATAATAAAAAGTTAGAAAATTGCCCTAATACTTTAGATTATAACGTACAAACACTGTGAGGGGAAATGTATGATGATCTGTGCAACTGAACATATTTATTAATATGATAACAACACATGCATCTGTTATGTGCAAGGAAACAATCCTGCAACCTTAGTGGTGGCCACAGACATTAACTGATATTAAACTAAACACATTAGGGGTCACACCTGTACATTTGCCTTTAACATGTTTAAATTACATTATTGTAATATTGAACCCTACTGGTAGAATGTAACTAAGTATTTTTACTTAAGTACAGTTTTAAGGTGCTTTGTTTGAATTTCTATTTCATGCCACTTTACATTTTTGCTCTAAGACAGTTTGGTTTTCATGAAATATTAATTTCATTACAAATTAAAATGGCATTAAAAAATATGCATGTTTAAAAGATGTGACAGAAGAAACTACCCAGCAGGTTTTGACCTCTTAAGACCTGAGCTCTTGTTTGATATGTATTTTTTATTTCTCTTTGATATTTGATCTGATCAAATATCAAAGAGAATAAAACATTTTAAAAAATATATTAAATATATATATTTTTAAATATCTGAAATAAAAATCATAAAAAAGATAAATACACTAATAATAATAATAATAACAACAACAACAACAACAATAATAATAATAATAATAATAATAGTAAAAATAAAAATAAATTAAAATAAATGAACTATTGTGGCAAAATAACCCAAAATCTTAATCTAGGTCTTAAGAGGATAAAGTCGCTCTAAATCAACAAGCTGCAACATGATTGATGTTCTTTTCTTTACTTTGTAATCCTCCTGGAAAGAAACAGTGGTTGTAGTTGCAGCACAAAAAAATGTAAGAAATGTGGATGTCATGATGCAATCGAGTAGTAAACTTAATATTTACATTTTCGTTATAACTAGAATGCTGGTCAAAGAACAAAGTGTTATTTCAAGTTGGTAGAATCTACAATACTAGACAGAAGGATTTATTTTAAACAGTACTTTACTGTAACTACAGCTGTAATACAGTTGAGTTTGCTCTGCATAGGCTGGATAAGGCTTGTATGGCAGTGTATGGATGAATAAATGGATGAACGAGTGCATAATTGTGTTCATTTTCTGTTAGGAAGTCTTTAGCAAATAGAAATCTAATGGAGTCTCCTTATTACTGATTTATTATTTGTTCAAATAAATGGTCTAATGCTGTTAGCATAAATGTGTTTGCTGCCTACATTTAGACCTGACGCTTGGACAGTGGACTTGCTTGAATCAGACCTTGGTAGACAGAACGTCTATATTGATTGTGTAGGCATTATCCAGACAGGAAGTGCCTCTCTCTCTTTCTCTCTTCCCCCCTCTTTCCCTTTCTCTCCACCCTAGCCGGTTAGAGAGTCATTTTCTCCAGCCTCTCCCTCTCATCACTGCTGCAGTGCCTCAGTCTCTGACCTTCCACAGGGACCATGCAAGCATTTGCTCCCAGGTAAGTTTCACAGTGCCTGAGTCATGCTGTTCTATTTCTGGATTCTTATTTTGCCAATTTCCTTTTACGAATTCCAGTCTAACAACCTTGCATTCTGGCGGAGCTCTAAGCCCTGTTGTTTGTCATCTTAATGTGGAATAACTATGCTCTGAACAGGTGCTGTAGGCCTCTGTGAGCTTGGAGGTTTGGTACATAGGGGGCCCGAAATTATTTCTTCTCTTTGATCACTTGATTTGCTTTTTTAAATGTACATTAGTAATCACTTGCTTAAGGCTGTTAGTCTAAGCAACTACTTTAGCTGATTAATTATAAATGTTTTATTAAGTGGGTTAAGAGGAGCAGTTAGCTGTATTTGAGTTTGGGTTTTCAGGAGTAGATGAATAAAACCAAGATTTAAAATGTAATTTTGCAATTATTGAATCTGTTTCTGAGCATCTGCAACTTGTTTTGTTCTTGATTATTTTACTGTGTCATTTGTGGTTTCAGGACCTGTGCACAGTCATGGAGTCCATATTGTAAGCTTTGTACATCACATACAGTAGATTGTGCTGCTGACCAGCCCACTGGAGCTCAGTCTGTATTCAGGGTGACTCCACAACTGACAGATCAATACCTGTAAAAGCCTAGCAGAGGAGGGGCTGTGGGTAAAACATGAGCCTCGCCACTGATGCTTGCTCAGCTCTTTGTTTGTGTCTGCGAAGCCGCTGAGGTATATTGAATCTTTTCAAAGCATCCTGCATCTCTAGTTGTATTCAAGATTATTCAAAGTGCAAATTAGGAGCAGCCTCCACGTGCTAATACAGCATAAGGTCACAATACAAGAAATGAAGTAGGAAGTGCTGTTGTGTTTATTTTTAGAAATTATATTTTATATTGTGTAAAATTAGCAACATGATGATCGACGTGTTCGCTGCATATTAGCTGTTGTTTCTTAAATTGGTGATTTGTGAAGGAAGAATGCAAGAATAAAATGGTGGGTCATGCATTGTTCACTTCATGGCCCTACCTTGTAGACAGTCTGTTTCCAAACCGAGTTTAAGACCTTTAGTATTTTCTTTTATATCGTTCTTGCTTGCTGTTCTACACCTTTAAGAAGGATTCAGTGATGCACACACTATAAATTATGTACATATTAGAATGTTTTGGGTTTTGTTTTAGCTTTTTGTATTTTTACATTGAAATTAGCTTCCCATTTAGTGTTGTCATTGTTGATTATTTTTCAGTTTTTATTATATATTTTAGTTATCATTACCTGTATCTGTCTTTCATATTTTCCAGATCAGAACTTCCTGAAAATGTACATTGTCCTAATGTTACAATCTCTCTTGTAAATCTACGTACTTGTGTGTTTTTTTACTATCCCAGGTTGTACCTGACCCCGGTTCGGGATGAAGAAGCAGAGTCTCAGAGGAAAGCAAAGTCCCGCCATGCCAGACAAACCCGCAGGTCAACACAGGTATAAAAACAACAGGCTTGTAACCAGGTTATTTTTTAATACACAGTGTTTGACTGTTGACAGATACGAGGCTCCATGAACATCCTGCAGGGTGTGACTCTGACGGACCTGAACGAGGCCAGGAAGACAAACAGCTTGTCTCCTCAAGACAGAGAGAAGGAGGAAGGAGGCCCTCTGGATGACAGGTCCTGTCTGAGGAAAGGCTTTCCAGATGACAGGAGAGTTAAAATTGGCCTGACAGAGTCTACAGACACAGCAGAGATCAATCTGAAGTGGAACACAATGGACGAGGTACCAAGAGAGACTCACTAGTCAACTTTGGCTGATGTTTGTGATTTAATTCTATAATCAGAATTGTTCTCTTATTTATGCGTAGGAGGGCAACATTGAACCCAGGTTAGAAACCCTTGCCGAGTCTCCAAACCTGTCCTATTTGTCTGCTGCTGGATCCTGTGGTGTGCCTTACTGTAACAGCTCCTTCAGAGGTAGGAACAACATTGAGGTTTTTAGCCCCCTGTGTTGTGATCGACTACCTCCTGTAATATTGAATGATCATAATTAGTGGTGCACGATATTAACATTTCTGGCTGATACCGATATCCGATATTAAGATTTCTGATATTGCCGATAACCGATATTACCGATCTCGATATTCAATATTTGTTCCTGTGAGAACGTGAAAACTATTCAAAAGAAGTCCATGCCAAATTAGACCGCATAGCTGATATATTGTGAATCCCTAATCATAATATCAATATTTGCATTTAAAAAAAGGTGTTTCCAATAAATATGTAGCTTCTTTTCTTCTTACCCAATTAAAACTCCAATATTGCAATATTCCATTATTCAGATGCAAAATTCCTATTTCATGTGTGATATTTCATTATCATGTGTGACATTACTTATTACCTCAGTATCATTGCCAACGTTGCTTCTGTCTTTTATTCCAGTCGCATTTAAGCCTACTTATTTTATTTCAGCAATGCATCATACTTACTGTGTATCTTATTGCTTTTCTACTGAGGACTGCATTTGTAATCTTACGTCGCTTTGTTTTTTCTGAGCAATATCTGGCACAAGAATGTCCCTGGGGAATAATAAAAATTTGTCTTATCTTATCTTATTTTTAAGCGGAGAAGTGTCCTTTAGTAAAAACTGCTTGCACGTTTGATAAATGTGACAACAACCCTGAGGCGCTGTTATTGCATCAAGCAAGAAAATATTTAATATGTTAAGTCACTGCCTGCTACATGTTAGCCGTGCATGTACAGAATATATTCCTCCTGTTTGCCAGAAAGCCGCATGCAGACAGAGAAGGTACAGTATGTGATCCTTCATCATGATGCTACTTGATGTATTTGGGTCACTAAGACCACAGAGACGCCTAACTCCCCTTATGAACAGATGTTATTATTTGGGATTTGGGAGTTGCAGTGCTGCATGAAAGCAGCACCGACCACAGATATAGAGAATATGAAAATTCAATTTATTTAACACTGTTTTGCATCCTTAAGACACTATAACAGGAATAAAGTGGCAGCTTCTTAAATGGACTCCGGCATCAAGGTGATGTAACCATGTTTAGTGTCTTATTGAGCTGTGAAAAAGACCCTGAAACGCCAAAGAAAACATCAGTCTGTTAAGCAGAAAGCACACTGTCGCTGTTATTTATTCATAGTGCTTCAGATGCATGTAAAACATCATCATTTTATGTGTGCAGTTGGTCAGAGATGGTGGAGAGATGAAAATCAGAACCCTGTTGAAGATGCAGCACAGCTGACAGGTGACGCAACGCAACAGCAAAGACGCCACTGCCTTGATGTTGAGGATTCAGACCACGCTGCAGAGGTATGTGGGAAACTTTTGTGCAATTTTAGTTCAATTACAATCACACAGCCTCAGCAGAAACAACATTTTAACCTTTGCACCACTAGATGGAGCCATAGGATTATCCAATGTATCGTTCATTTCTAGTTTGCCCCCCAGAAAAGTCAAGTATTTACAGCTCACTACTTATGACTCTTTGATATAACGAGATCCCATGAAAATGTGCTCCAACACTGAAGTGTGTTCAAGACGTACTTATCGTAAAGTAGCATGATTTCTAATTTAGGAAAATGTTATCTGGAGATCAAATCACTCACAGGTGAAAATCTTACATCACAAAAATGATATTTTTCTGCATAAATATTCATTAGCACCATTGTTTCATGTTCACGTTGTGTTTCTCACTCAAGCGAGGCTAAGTAAGCTTCAAAGGCAACTCCGCTCTGATCTCTGATGCAACATTTGGAAGATTCACTGCAACCATAGATGTGCAGCATGTGTTCAGAGATTCTTTTAACTGCTGGTTAATATCTCAGAAAGACAGTCCAGGAAGGCCAGCCCCCAGCTCCCTCTAAGTCACTTTGCTTCTTCACATCACATGGCTGAGGTGTCTCGGCATTCCATACCATATTGGGCAAAAGTGAGACGCTCTCTGCTCAGTCTTAGCCTGGGATTCAGACAGATTGGCTTTCTTTTCCGTTTCACCTTCCAAACGGATACTGTTCTCTCTCCACCTGCACGTAAAACACCTCGACCCACCCGAACCTTATCACTAATTCCTCCTGGCTCGGTGCAATCTGGCAATTCACTTATGTTTCAGTGGAGATAATCTATTAATTTGGCTTTCTGTGCGGGAGATGAAAAAAGATAGCACAATGAAGAGGAATTAGAGGGGACAAAAGAGACGATAAGGCGGTGACTTTTACAAGATTGTGTCAAGATTATAGATGATTATGGACGTGTGATACAGTATGAATAGAAAGTGGCTTCCTTGTGAGCTAACTCCAGGTCAGCGGTGCAGCAGTCCCCTATTCTGGAATCTGAAACAGAGATCTGCGAGTAACATGAGAGTCTCTGCGTTACTGAGAGGACTATATCTGTCTGTGATAATCATACAGAGCAGGGAGGCTTCATCACGAGCATGACAGGCTGCCTATCACTCGATCCGACCTCTGTATGACTCCCTGATGTTCTGAACAGATTTTCCGCAAAGACAGGTGCAGAGCAAAACTGCTAAGAGATTTTGCTCCTTGGTGGTGACAACCGGAGCTAACAAGAATACCTCTGCAACCAGTTTTTTTTTTCTCCTACAGTATCACTTTATGCAGGAGGGGATTAAGGAATCTGATCCTGCTGGTAGCGCGACCTCCTCCTCTACATTTGCTGGAGCACTCAAGTGACCTCTGGTAGCCACTTATTTTCAGTTTTAACAAAAATGCTCGAGCCTAATGTCCCATATGGAAAGTCCTAAAACTCAGGCCGAGGATCAGGCAGGGGGGACTCCAGCTGGGATAGACTAATATTACAAGTCTTCTACACCAGTGCCAATGTAGTTCACTGACACCAAGTCATATTCTCTGCAGAGGGTCTCTGAGGAAGGACATGTATTATAAATATACTGCTTTACAGTCTCCACATTTTTTAGAACTTATAGTACATGGGGATTTAAAACCATCTGTCATTGATGTTGTATAAAATAGCTTAAGAACCAAGGCTATAAATATTAACCTTTTAAATAGGCTTAAGATACAAGTGTTGGTATTTGTGGATAAATTAACACCTCTGTCTCAGTGCTATGTGAGTGGATGGTTGTCTGACAGCCTTAAACTGAAAGCTTTTCTCTCAAACAATCAAATCTTATATTTCACAGGTTCTTTTCCTTTCACTCTTTTCTTTGTCTTTCCATTAGCCTCCTGTGTTTCTGTTCAGTTTCTTTTATTCCCATCTCTCCCTCTATCTATTTGCCCCGAGCAGGGATGAGGGAGTTGAGGAACAGCGAGGTGCTGCAAACCTCACTATAAAAGGAAGATAGCAATGAGCTGGCTTCAGCAGACTATGGGAAGAACATAATGGGACTTTTGCATGTTTAAAGGAACAGTTTGACATTTTGGGGAAAATCCACATTTGCTTTCTCGCCGAGAATTAGGCAAGAAGATTTATGCCACTATGGTGAACGTAAAGTTCGAGCCAGCAAGTGGTTGTTTTAGCATAATAGGGAGAAACAAGGGGGACACAGCTAGCCTGGTCCTGTCCAAAGGTTAGAAAAGTCCTCTTTTAGACCTACTGGAGCTTGTAAATTTTAAATTGTGCTTATTTAACATGTAATAAAAAAAAGAATTAAAAAAAGACAAACTGTGCAATGACTTCGCCCCATAAAAAGCCATAACTTTCTGAAACAGTGAGATATAACAGATATCACATAATTTGTTGATCTTTAGTAGCTTTAGAGGTGCTGGTGGGCAGATGTTGGACAGAGCCGATTAGGCAGTTCTTCCTTGCTTCCTGTCTTTTTGTTAAGCTAAGGTAACACAGGAATGCCATCAATCCCATAACTCCTACAAAAAAAAAAAAAACAATTATTTCATAAGCGGGAGAAGATGGATGGATGTTCCTCAGAAGGCCACAGGATGAGATACAAAAATAAAATCTGAAATTACCATTGGCCTTATTCATCTTGCAAAACGTGAGGTCAATTAAGCATATTTTAGGCAGAGCAGATGTGTTGCAAGTGCACTGCTTTAACACCGTGTAGCACTCACGCTAACAACAGCCCTCCATCACTCTGTGGGGTGCATCGAGTTACTTGGCACTTCACAGTCGTTGATGGCTCCTCAGGTAATACTGTGTGTTGACCTTCCAGGACACAAACTGCTGCAGCCCCCCTCCTGACTCCGGCTTTGTGCTCCACCTCCCCTTATCCCTGTTCACATCAGCGGACAATTTTAGCCCTCAGTGCCGAGTCCATCCATAGCAGAGCCTCTGGCCGGCTGCCACAGAAAGCTGCCAAAGCTGAAGAGAGCGGGGAGAAGCGAGGGGGGCGAGGGGGTGGAGGGACTGGGAGGGCGACCAAACAGTGAAAGGAGAAGGAAAGAGAGAAAGCGAGAGAGAGAGAGGGAGGGAGATGGTGAGAGAGTGTATAACTTTGGGGGAACACAGGAAGAAGGCTGCATAGGGAACAAACTTTTCTCTCTTGGTTGTGTTGTTTTGGACATTTTTGCACTTCATGAAGGAGCTCAGTGCTGACAGAGCGGAGAGAAGGGAGAGTCATTTCCTCCTTTAATAGCTATTTTCTCTGTTTTTTGTGATTTTACCAGAGATTATCTTTTAGTTTTTGTTTGTTTTGTTGCTCTTTGCATTTTTTTAAATCTGATTGTTGCTTAACTGCCTGAGCTTTGAAGAAGGCGTGACCACACATCTGAAATCCTTCCAAACTTAGCTGCAGCTCGCTCCAGCTCATGGGAACTGAACTGAAACACCACACACACATCTAAACACACACACATACACACACACCTGTTGTTGCTGAGGATTCCCCGGGAGCGCAGTCATGGACATCTGCGTCACTGTTGCTTGAGGCAATCTGTGCGTCTGTGCAGCTGTTATCTGGTGGTGGCCTCGGTGAATGTTACATTAGAAGTTGACCTGTCTGTCCGGGCTAGAGGAAGGAGATGTCATCCTACTACCCGCGCACCAAGGACCTGACTCGCACCAGAAAGTCACTGACGGAGTCGCCGCCGTCTTCTCCATCCCCTACAGACAAAAACTACAGAGTAAGCTCCTCTTCTAGAGACATGCACCTTTTCAATGTAAAGCTTTATCATTCAAAAGTAATAATTATATCTAATATCATCAAAACCTAACAGGAAAGATTAGACCTCATGGAGTATTTATACTTTTTTATGTGTTTGGCATGTTTCAAATCCCCCTGGAAATCATTGATGCCATAATTCATAGTGTATTTACTCACTTGTCAGGTGACTTTATAGTATGACAGTTCAATATATCTCCTCTGTACCCTCAGATGCAGGATTTTCTTTTCTGCAGATGTTAACCAGGCTGATTTGTTTTGATTTTACCAATACATCTAAACATGAGTTGAATAAATTAGTTTGGAACATTTAAAAAGAATCATCAAAACGACCTATATCATTTAATTATCAATCATAGTCATTTTGGCAAATAAGTATTCTGAGGTTTCAGCTCCTCAAATATGAAGATCAGCTACTTTTCTTTGTCATAAACTGAATGCTTTTGGGTTTTTAACAGTTTATCAGATGCATTCAGAATTTCTCAACATTCTGTTACATTTTTTTAGACAAAGTAACAAATCGAGAGGACAACTGGCAGAATAACTAATACTGAAAACAAGCAAAGTATCTGAATATGTGCTGTTGTTATTACATTAGGTAAAAAAGAAAATATTTCACAATTCAATTAACAGGACAAGAATTCTTCGCTACTTTCTGCACGATTATGTGAACATGCATGACTAATCCGTCACTTATCTCAGCTTGTTTAATGACATGTATAGGCAGGGGAGTATTTACTCTGCAGGACTCAGAGTCTGACCACATTTTCTGGAAAAGACTTTTGGTTTCAAACATTCCTTCTGTAATTTCCTGTTATTTTTTTTCTGTCTAAGTGGCTTTTTCTCACGGGCGTTGTTGGACTGTTGTGTTTATGTCAGTGCATCAGACTGAGTTGTGCTCTGTGTGACAGGCACATTTAAAGGGAAAGACAGAAATGAAAAAAAAAAAAAAAAAGAAGACAAAATGCGATTCTGTCTGCTCGGAGACAAGTACAGTAATGTCGTGCAACACTGCAAACGCTCTGGTTGAGGCGCAGTTGCCAGCAGTGAATGCCTCCAGTGGTTGTTGTGATTCTTTTACTCTCTTTTTAAGAAGTGTCAGTCTCTCTATTTGCTGTGTCCATGGTGAAACTCGGGCATTAATTTTCCATTATGTCAGCCCAATCCAAATTGGCAGAGTTTTCCTGGGAGAGAAAATGCAATGCAGACGGGGATGGAATCAGGTTGATGCAATATTTGCAGCTCTTACCACAATGTTTTGATGAGAACCTGCTTCTCTTTAGTAACATACAATGTGTGTTACAGCTGTGGGCAAAAGGAAGGCAAATAAACAGGAACACATTTGCATTATTGGCTGACACTTAATATTTGGCAGATGTTCACAGTGGTGAGAAGTAAGTACTCAGTAACTTCAGTACAAATTGAAGGTATTTGTACTTGAGTGTTTCCATTTTATTCTTGTTTTATACTTAAACTCCACTACGTCGCAGAAGGAAATGTACCTTTTACTGTGCTACATTTATTTCACTGCAGTAGCAACTAGTTATGCAATACTCCAACATTTTAGATTAAAAATGTTTGACAGGCTTAAAGATAAATGCATTTTTAAAGTTTAATCAAAAGGTTCCAAACATTTTTGGATTAGTTTTAAGCAGTTCCACCAAAGAAATATTTCCCAGAAGGTCAATAAAAAGCTATAGTTGTCCAACTTTTCATGAAAAAACAAGATTCAATTAGGAAATAGTCTGAAATATATGAGCGTCAGAAGTTGGATTTGTTTCTTTTGTACTCCATTAATCATGTCACATCCTCTCAGATTTACCTCATAAACCACCAGACTATGCCAACAGCACAGAAACTACTTAAAACTCAATTTTAACACAATAAAATTGATTCATGCATCAGTGTGTATGACAGCGAGGTAGTAATGGAGTGTTTTAATTCATTTATATTTGTTATAAGTACACATCTTTAAGCATAGGATCTGATGTGGTGCATTAGGAACGAGTGATTTTGAATAAAGCGGTAGATGCCCTCAGATGCTTGAAGGTCTCAGCTTGCACTGTGAAGAGTTAACAGAGAGGGAGGAGTGGCTGAAGTAAGGAAAGGTGAGTGAATGTGGAAGAAACGTCTTTTATGGTTGTGTGTGCAGTATCAGTTCCACTGGTGGGAGTGAAGAGAGAGAGGGAGAGTGCATGTGGCTCAGATTTTCCTACTGCAGTCATCCAGTCAGCTCTGAAGGAGTGATGCTGTGACAGAAAGCGAGGGGGAAGTGAGAGAGGTGAGAGGGAGGCTGGTGAAGAGTCCTCTAATGAGGAATTCATTGGCTCTTGCAAAAAGCTGTTAATATTATCCTTTATGCACTCTAGCAGTGAGCTCACGCAGGCGGCCTGAGTGTGTGCGTACCTCTGACTGTGGTCCTGGCAAGCTATGAAAATGGAAGCAATTGTGTTTACACAGTGCCCGTGGTTGAAGCAAGCACCGATTCAGAGGCTCTTTCCACCAGTCTGACACCCTGTTGTTGAATATCTCCTCCTGCATCTGCTCTGCCTCAAATAGCTTGCTGAGCCACATGTGCCACTTCTAGCTCCATCCATTTCTCCTAACAAGGGATCAGATTGGTGCAGCTGCCATCAGAAGTAGTTTCTGGCTTAATTTCAGTACGGATGTTGTGCGTTTATTTGCGAGGACTCACCCTTTCACTAAAACTCAGGTCCTGTAATACCCACAGGGCCCACTCAAGATTTCATTGGAATTAAGTTTTTAAAAAACTCATTTCACCAATTTCCTAATCCTTTAGTGTGTGAAATAGGTTTGCGTACAGGAGCTAATAATCTTGAAAGAGTTTGGTTCGTATCCCCACAAGCAGGCTTCATGATAATTTATTCATACGACCAGGGACCCAATCATCCTCTGCTGATTAATGAATGAATACCAAATCTGATGGAGGAATCTCCTCCATGTTGCACAAAGAGATGGGAGTGAGTGAGAGCTCTTCTTGGCTCCATCCTGGGCCCTTTTTCATCTGAGGTCACGGAGGTCGTTTTTTTCCTGGATAGCTCCGCTAAAGCACATGACCACATAAGGACAGGCAGCGCTGGCTCAGTTATGTAAACACATGCTGAGAAATAGCTGCTATGACGCTGCGCGATATATCCCCTAATAATGTGATGTGAGCACAGCAATAACTGACAAAGATTGTTCCTCCTAAAACTTGTTATTTTAACAGTCTGCATCTGCTTTTTGTCTCGAACAGCTCAGACCACCACACTAGTTGTTTATTGCGAAGCATTTCTAAACAGAGGTGTTTAAAGACTCCTACCCCTGGCAGGGGAGCAGCTCCAAATCTTTGATTTTAGGAGAAAAGTTTACAAGACTACAGCAGAGAACATGGATCAGTCTGGTCTCGTATCACAGCAGCTTCTCTCCCTCTTTGACTTTTGTTTCCAGTCCTGTTTGAATAGTAAACACCTCCATTCTCATCATCATCTCATGTCACGTCTATCATCTGATGGAAGTAAATTATCTATTAGTTGAGTTTTGCTCAGGTCTAGCCAGGCGTCACACATAGTGTGTGGCATGTAAAATAACATACAAAGGCAGTAAGCAGACAGAAATAAATCAGACTCACAGAACCAGTTTTGTGCGAATTCATTACACGGACATCTTTGAGGCTGCGTGATTTCAGACAACACAGACCGGACTGAAACACAGCTCCTCCTGGTGCCCGGGCTCCTCTGGTGAAATGGAAACAAATACAGAATGTGATCACAACAGGCGACTTGGCAGCAACGTCGACCAGACCATAGCAAAAACCTGCCAGGACAGTTTGATATCAGTCTGTTGTCTGAGTTCAGCCGACAGCCCGTCATACAGGAGATACTTGACTTCTGATGTCATGATGTCATCTTTATACTGCAGGCATCTGCATGGCAGCCACCTACTCTCAAAGATTAACCAGGCTCACTGGGGAGGTTTGACCTGCATGAACCTTGTCAGAGCAGCGCTGGGGTGAATTATATCTCACTTCTGCATGCACTTCTTCCCCTCAGGGACTACAGGCCGCTGAACACACTGTGATAATTCAATTGGAAGTTTTGCTTTGATTCTGTCTAAAAAAAACAAAAAAAGGGAAACTTTGTCTCTGCCAAGCCTTTGTTTGCTCTTATTAAACAAATAAATCTGGATCTAACCACGACAGAACATTTTTACGCTGTGCTGTTTCCATTCTGTGGTGATGAGTGATCAAACTAACATGGCTTCTTCTTTGTTTTTCAGCATGACAGACTGTCAAGGTAAGAATTTAGCTTTGTTTTTCCTCCTGTAATACAGAACAAAAGGAATAATAAATAAACCCCCTTAAAAAGAACCTGCATACTGACTAGGAGCTCTGCTGCCTTTAGGTATGATTCCAGTGGAGAGAGCGCGACGGACAAACCAATGGGCCGCACCAGCTCTTACACTCGGCGAGAGACGAGGCTGGCCGCACTGAATCGACAGGAGCAAGACTCCACTGCCAAAGACTATAAGAAGGTAGTAACTCTTTCCTTTAGTCCAAACAAGCACATTCCCTCGTGATTGATTCAAAGCTGCAGTTTTGGAAACAGTTGGACTGTTGGCTCCCGATGCAGGTTTATGCATGGGGTATCGATTTTTATATTGTCATGATAATTTAACTGGACTTTCAGGGAATTATTGCAAGCATCAAGATCTAATATATACACATATAAAGTCTGCATCTGACTGAAGTATTATTCAATCAATATGGAGCTATGAGGTTGCTGGGCCACTACATATGGCAAAAAAAACAGTAAGAGTGCTATGGCCACAAATTCTTTACTAGTGCAGCATTTATTTATTGACATTTGTATCACATAGTATATAACAACAATTCCTAATAATATTTTTTCCAAACATGACTGACAAAAGCAGCCGCAAAAAAAAAAAAAAAAAAATTGGATGGCTTAAATAACAAAGAATTATTAACTCGAAGGTTTACACGTTTTACACAAGTTTAGCTATCTATAAACATAATAGGGGTATTTTCAAACCAGTTTTTAATTAAATAATACACTAAAGCATTTTTTTTGTAACATTATTGTCTACAGCAGAACAAAACCAACAAAAATTGTTTTAAGTTAGTCTTGGTAAATTAAATGTAAGACTTTTTAATACACTTGAATGCCTTTGCCTGAAGTAAGTGCTTTTTAAGGGTTTACACGTAATATTTGTGGTCCCACATTAGATTATTGTTGAATATTGACATTTAAGAAGAGTGACAAAGCTAGTTGCTAACATACGATTAGCAGCTACAATTTGTGGTGAGGCTTGAAGCAAATGCTGCTAAGATGAAAGCAATTTTACGTAAAAGACAGATAAAAACCAAAACCTTAATAAGGGGGAGACTCGCCAAAAAAAAAAAGGCTCCACTTGTTGCCCACAGTTACCTGCTAACTACTAAATGAGTCAACTACTCATAGCTATTGTAGCTAACTTTGCGTGGCTAATTCAGCCATGGGCTAGCCCACATTTAGGATAGTGTAAGTCAACTAAATATATAGCATTGGTCTACTCTTTTTTTAAAGACAATTTTATGTGAAAATGTCACATATTATGCCTGTTGTAGATAACTGACTCCTTTCAGTTTACATCTAGCAAAACATTGTGGGACTTGTAGCTCCAAAACCTACAAAAAAAAAATGGGAGTTTGTTAAGTCATTGTATGTGACATGAAACAATTATATTAGGCAAAACATAATAATAACACACTTTAAATTATACATGTGTATTTATAGTAAGATATTGTATGATGAAAAATAAAAGATGTCTACTTTTAATATAAAGAACAGAAATGCTGATATTACATGGGGTTTATAATGGGTTTGAATGATGATGTAAATTGTTTTATACACAGTCTATTCATGGATATCTCTTACATAAAGCCTTTTATTGAGTTCTGGGGCTCATTTTCAGATTTTTATTTATTTGTAGAACTGATTATTGTGTTATTTCATCACAGATTTTTCTTTAGTATATCAATACAATTTTGGCGATCAGAATATGCTGTTCCTTAGTCTTCTTTTTTTCTGAATTGTCAGATGTATGCAGAAGCTTTGCATGAGAATGAGAGGCTCAAATCCAGGTTGCACGACAGCAAACAAGAGTTGGTAAAGATTCGTTCCCAGCTGGAGAAAGTCACTCAGGTACCTCCGCAACAGAAAACTGTAAGAGAAAAACTGAAGAAACTGTCTCACCATTATTATTTTTTCTAAATCACCAAACTTGAATACATTTCTGAAGATAATTTGCCCCTATAACATTGCCACTCTTACTTCCAGAGACATGAAAGGATATCAGAACGATCTACAGTACTTGAATCAGAGAAAAGGGTAAGTGTCATATAATGACCCACAGGCATTTTGGTATTTTATTTGATCATGCTCTTCTGCACAATCGAGATGGATGAGCGTCCAAATATCTTTGTGTTTTGTTTTTCCTCCAGTTTTCCTGTCTGCTTCAAATCATAGTCTAATGGCCTTTCACTCGCGGGGTTTCCAAGGGATCATGAGAGTACATTTATTTCAGCTGTTTCTTCTTTATTTACAGGAAAAACAAGCTCTTGAGAAAAGGGTGTCAGACATGGAGGATGAAATAAAGGTCAGTCCAAGCAAAAAGAAAATCAGCGTCGATTTAAATGGCATTTATTTTGTCTCGGGCACAAGTTGTGCTTCATTTATCTCATCAACGTTCTCTCCAAACACCATTATGACACTAACAGTCCTTGAAGGCACACACCTCCAGCCAAGCCCCTGTCACCCATGCTAAATCAAGCACGCCTAAAGTGTTTTTACAGAGCAGAACACACATGCAGCACACTCAAGGGTTGTGGTTAGCCAGGTGGGTTTGGAGTCAAGGAGAGGGAAGGTTAATGCTTCAGGCTCATTACCCACAGTGTTCTGCTGGGCCACTTCCTGCCAGGCTGAGGAGGAGCCTGTGCTGCTGCTCCCCTGCTCTACTTATCCCACTGTTGGGGTGAACATTGTGACCTAGTTCCAGCTGAATACCAAACCCCGTCCAAGAGCAAAAGAGAACCTGCTTTTGTGAGACATTCCTGCACTGCTCTGTGTGCATTCTGCTTCACAAAGAAACACAGGACACGACTACAGAGCGGCCCGAATAGACGAGGTCCGGGTTTGTATGTGCAGGCAAACGACACCGAAAAATCTGCTTGTGGGAGGATTGAAGCAATAAAATTATGACTCCGATCTGAGAGAACACATAACGTATGCAGACATTGAAGCAGATATTATAACATGCAGCAGATGTTTATGACCTCCCGTGTTGTCATGGTTCCCTCAGCAGGATGCCCCACTGCGGTTCCGCTGTGGGTACCAGCCCTGAGGGCAGGCTGTCTCAGGGGAGGGGGGATGGTGAGTGGTCGCTATGATGCAGAGGAGTGATGGACACTTGCCTGTTACCTCACATGGGTCTGTTCTGTCAGAGACCAGGGCATGATTACACGTGTGGATTCTCTCAGAAGTACAAGAACTTTAAAGCTATACGAGCACGGACACACAACTTTTATCTTTAGCACCTCAGAGTACTGGCTTGCACTCACTCACGAAACTCACTCGTTCACTTTTAGCCAGCTGCAGCTTCTCAACAAGGGAGAGCTGTTCAGTTGTTGTCACCTTAGAGCCAACCTGCACCACCTGCAAGAAAGCAGAAACAGCAGCAGCATCAAAGATCTGTAGGTGTAGACATGTTGGCCAAGCAAAATAACAGCTGTGATTTTAACACTTTCGCTGCTATTTTGTTTGTGCGGCTGACTTTGTGACACTCATCGACCGCAAGTGTCAGATTTTCTGTGTCTGTTACTTTCCTTGCCCATAGATGGCACACACCAGCACATCTTCATGTTCAGTTCGCTGTTGTTTCCTTTCTTGCCGATAGGAGGTGCACCGTCGGCTCTGCAGCTCTGTGTTTGACTGCCTCTATTTTCAGGTGTCTCACGTCAACAGCACTGTGTGTCCTTGTTTTCCCTTTTAGAACAGTAGCACTGTGGTAATACCCAAAGTGTCAGATTACTATGTTGGCTCTCACATTCCTTACGGAGAAGCTGAATTATTCCTGACAGTCTCGAAAACTTAATGAATAGCAACTGTGTAGAATTATCCGCCGCACCCGAGAGTGTGGTCAGATCTGATTTAATATCAAAGAGCTCAATATTAAGAGAGTGTAATAAGGGATACTGGTCATTACGCATTCTCATCTCACTCTGTCCTTTTCTTCGTTGTTGCCAAGGGCACCTCTCCAGAAACTGCACCATTTGATTCCAATACCAAAAGAACATTATATGCATAAACCGCTAAGTCCTGAACACAGGCTGCTTCAAATTGCTTTTATAAATGTGTTTGGTGTTATTAGAAGCAGCTGGAAGTTCTCTTTATACATGATCCTTCGCCACATTCATCACTACAAACTTGTCTCTGGGTGGCCTGAAAAAACGACGAGTGCCCTGTACGTGTGTGTGTGTGTTCTGTGGTTTACTTTCAGGAATAGCGTCAAACCACAGACGTTTCTGTCGAACCACATTGAGGTTTACCTCAAAAAGTCAGGCCAAGAAGAGGAGGGGGGAAATGAATCATTTCCATTCCTTTGACTTGTAACTGCCTCGGCACTTGTGCAAAGTCTCAAATAGAGTAGAGAGTGTTAGGTTTAGACAATTTCTATGAATTTTAATTCCCTCTATTTGCTCAGCTATGCATATAATAACGGCTCACCTGTCTCCGCACAAAGCCCAGGTTTGATGAGCACAAACCACAAAGAGAACTGGCTTCACAAATTTCCTTGCTTGTTGCAGCTTTTTTTTTTCTTCTCAAAATGTCGCTGTTGTGTAAATATTTGTTTACGTAAGTTTTTTCCGATGAATCCCTCAGATCTGTGGGTTTTTCATTTCCCCTGTCTGTGTGGGTGTGTGGGTGCATGCCTGTATGAGTGGATATGGACACAGTGTCTGTATGAGTCTCTCTCTTTGCACATGGCCTTCCTCCCTGCATGCTTTTCTCTGTCTGCCCCCTCTCCTGTATCTTCTCTGTCCTCCTCTGTGCAGGCTTTCCCTGCTCTGGCTCAGGTCCAGGCCTTGCGGAGGGTGAACGAGTGTCTCCTGGCTGAGAATAGAGCCATGCTGCGCGTCCTCGCCCGCCTCTCTGAGACGGCCTCCATGCCGGAGACAGAGGACCTCTGATCCTCTAAGATCATCTGCCCTCCTTTCCCCTCCCCTCCTCTCCCCTTCCTCAGCCACATAACTTCTACACTCCTCTTTCCTTCTGGCGTCTCTTCAGCCCCCTCGTCCTCTGCTGTGTTCCTCTCAGGCAGGTCCTGCACCCTCTATATGCTCACTGTCCCCCCACACTGCAACGCATCCTTCCTTGCACTCTATTTTAACCCTGTTTCCTTTATAGCCATTAGATGAAAACCCTGCTGCCCCCAAAGCAGTTCCCATAAATCCTCCTTTGAAGCGTATTATTAGCTACATTCACGTCGCATGCTGCTTTACACAACATGAACCCAACATTAGGAGCTACTTTTACCTTTGGTTGCCATCTGGATGAAGATCCAGGACTCTGCATCATAAAAAATAGAAGCATTTAAAGCAGATATTGATTTGGCAACAGTCAACTATATGCAGGGCCTGCGTAATGTGATGTGTAATCGATGCAAATTAGTTTTGCTGGGAAATAGCCATTTCATTTAGTCCTACAAAGGAAATTAAACATATTAGATCATTAGCCTTCAAAATGAACCACAGGCACAGATATACAACTCATTTCGTTTCAGTGTGTATTTATGTTCACAAACCATAATTAGGCCACTTTAAATAAGTCATTAGACACTTCTGGAAATAAGCCCCTTTGCCATCTTTGCTGAAAGTTAAAATCAGAAGTCTGCCACTCTCATCTGTAAAACATATATGCATGGAAGCAGGGGTAAACATCTCATCTTACTCAAGTTAGGTGGTTTAAATGACAACAAAATCAATTTTAATAAACATTTGCTAAAGTCCTCCCCATGGGAAGACATTTGTTTTAATCATTATATGTCTAACTAATCCAGAACCTGGCAGATTTTCTATAGAAGAGCCACGTTAGACGAACCCAGCATACCTAACGTTTCTCACATGTTAAAGAAATGCTAACATTCAGGGAAATACAATTCATGCTTTCTTGCCAAAACTTTGAAGAGACGATATACATTATAAAATATTCAAACATCATGGTTACAACAAAATACTGTCACTGTCTAGGACAAGAAACTTCAAGTGCTTGACTCCCTGTAAAACCCCAGTTTATACCTTTTGCATTTCATTTTTTTGTACAGATTAATCAAACAGGATATACTATGTTAATGAGTAATTTTTTAAAAATATTTTAAAATCTGTGACATATAGTGAAAATTGAGCAGCAAGGGTGCCAAAGAATATATGTCCAGAAACCATAGAATAATATGACATTAAAAAGCTGTAAAAATGGTGAAAACAACGTGAAGTATCTGTAATTTTGTGGTCACGCGCTCTAAAAGAACAAATTGCTGTTTGTAAAAATACAGATTTTTTTTACGTGGACACTATTGAAAGTATTGTTTTGAGGTTTTTTAGGGGTTAACATGTAAATTAATACTTTCTTGTAATTGAACAAAACATGGGAAGTCTGTTAAGTGACAGCACTTTTTTGAGAAACTTAAAAAGCTTCATTTCTTACACTGTGGAAGGCAGATTTTGTTATTTTAGGACAGAGCCCCGCCAGCTCTTTCCTCATCCTTTTATCTTGTGTATTCCCAAGTGTCAAACTATTCCTCTAACCACATTTCCAGCTTTGCTATGGTACTGGGACTTGTATACTAAAATTTGGGATTATTATTCCGTTTACTGTGAAGAGTGACAGAGAAAACAGGATAGAAAACGGCCTCCAAACATATGATTTGCCACAGGTTATGATCACGTCGATGCCAGGTGCCTTTGCTCATTTACCAGTTGCGGCGGTGTGTCCTAGCTGGAGCAGAGGGTTATTGTTTGTCTCCAGTAGAGGGGAAATACTTTGACAAAGAGGGTGGTTATTTTTAGTCGTTGCTCCTCATGGGAGACATGACCTAGATTTTGGAAATTGACCCTCTCTCGGTTTCTCTCGCTCCGACTTCAGTCTCTGTCACTTTTCACATGCAGAACATATTGTCAATGTCACTCCTCACTGCATGATCAAGTAGTGTGAAGCATGTCCTCATTGCCTGGCCTCAAACTTTAGTGAAAGACAACTTGTTGTTAGTGGTGATTGAAGGTTTTCATTCCAGTGGCTCACCCTGGTGAAATGCGTACCACTTGGAACTTTAAATGACAGATTTGTCCAGAAACCATTTAAATTGCATTCCAAAGACTATTACATTTTCCATATTTCTAATATAATTTTTGTCCCTTTGTCGTCCCAGATCTTAACAGAGCTCAAGTCAGACAACCAGAGGCTAAAGGATGAGAACGGGGCTCTCATTCGAGTCATCAGCAAGCTGTCCAAATGAAAAGATGTCTGGAGCGCCTGTTCTGTGTCTGTGGATGCTCCAACCCTGATATGGCAGTTTAATTATCCACGAGGTCCCAGGTTTTGACTCCTCTCTGAGTTACTGTGCAGTGACAGGCCGCTTTGGCTGCGTTTGCAGAAACAGATTCTGCTAATTCCTGCTGGAACTCGTGAAGATCCAAAGAGAAGTGTTATTAAGTTTCAGTCAAATTTCACACGTAGCATAAGTGAGTCAGTACAATAGTCTGTCCACGATTCGTCATGGATTTTTAGAATATTTTTCACATGTTTAAAATCGGGACCAGATGTTTGGATGACATTTGAAGACCCAGTCAAACAAATGCAGGGGTTTGCATGAAGATACTGTATTATATCCACACATCACACTGAGAATTCACGTTTGTTGCTACATTTTGCACTGCATAAAAGTGTTTTAATATTAACTTTACTGTCAAAAAATGGACTCCGACTGTACTGAAATGAGGGCTAAAACCTCCGGCTTCATTTTTTCATAAAGTGTTAGAAATATAGCAACTTGTTTTACAAAGAAGTTTAAAACATTTTCACTCTACGTTAAAGACACTTCATTCGACGCATGTTTTGGGTTGTTATTTCCTTGATTGACAACGTTCTCAGGTTTGTCACTCAGCTGTGCCTGCTTGCCACAATTCAGTGCCTCCCTAATGTGGATTTTATAGCTTTGAGTTACATAAACAGTAAACCCCAGACTTCTCTTTGGAAACCTGTGGGTGTTTTTCTACAGTTTTCAAATACAGCTTACGGTCCAGTTGTTTTAGGACCCAGGTATATACAAACACATTGCACACAGCAAACCGTTGGCAAACTGACAATTCCAACTGGTCAAATAAACATTTCAGTCCAATTTATACCATTTTCTGAACATTTAAGTTTGCTAGTATTTCAGAAATGTGTGTTTTTTTACTACCCAGCATATGACAGTGTCCCTACTGTTTTCAGCATGCGATGGAGACTTAAAAGGCAGAGTAGTGAGTACATGCACTTAGCAGTGTGTGGATGGTGCAGATCTTTGATCAGGAGCAGCCCTATGGCATCCACAATGGTACAGTTTCCATGAGAACATGAGATTCTTTGTGTGTTTTCAGTTGCCAAGCTTCATTTTTTTTTTATTTTATTTTATTTTTATTTGCTTGTCCTTCATAGAGGATTTTTATTTTTGGATCCAGTAGCTCGTCTACAACAACAGAATGGCTAAACAGAGGAGACGCTCCAAGCGTGTGTAAATGAACATGTCCTATCTTTTGTTTTGTAATAGAGATATATTTATTTATTTATGGATTGATTAGATTTGATCTTTATACTTTGTTTATTCAATTTAGTTTCAAAGGAATACACTGACTGTTTCAGACTGGCCTGTTGGCCGACTTCGTGTTCGGGCGATGAAAATGCAAATACCAAAATCATTCACCTGAGTCACCTCTGTAAAAAAAACTAAATCTCTCCTGACACTTAAGTCTCCACAACCTTAGTGTGGCCTTAAATATCAAACATAGATACACAGATCTAAGGTGTTGGCAATTCTTTTCATTACATGGTTCTGATTTAAGTGTAATTTAGTTGCCAGTTTATATTATGTGCACCTTGACCCATATATTGCTTCAAATACCACCACCCTGCAATAAATCTAAACTTTATTCTTTTTTTTTTTCTTTTTCCTGGAGGTCATATTTACTGGTGCTACTACAACGAAATGTTTTCACTATTTGGGAGCCACAAAATATTTTAAGCATTTAAACCGTCACAGCAGTTCACAGGAGAAAATGGGAAGAATCATCCCTAGTTCAGCTCAAAACACTACATATGCATCACAGTTAATGCACAAAACTGTCAGACTCAGCTTCACATTTAAAATTAATTTGCATTAAAACTCCTTTAGAGTCTTTCTCACTGGCGTACCAGGGATTTTGGTATATGTCTTCTCCTTGCTTAATGGGTTTGTTGACCCAAGTCGTCAGTGTTTCATGTATTCCTTGAACAATGCGATGGTTTTGGAGTCCAACCAGGGCAGCATGCTGTAACACTGGTGTCATGTTCAGTCACAGTAACTGATTTACTTAGAAATAAGCTACAGTTAAGTGTCTGCTATTCATACACGTGCTGTAGATGTATTGAACTATGCAGGCTGAACAGTGTGAAATGTGTTGAATGATGGCTTAATATGCACACATTGGTTTATTCACTTTGCTTAATAAAGTGTAAAAAAAGGATGAAACTCTTTTGTTTTGTATTTTCGCATCACATATGAAACACAAACAAGTCATGGTAATTAAAAGGCCTTTATTTCCTATTTGTTTTTACAGAACTGGTAACACATATGATAAATTTGTAGTAAGTTATTTGGTTCCCTTGATAACTTTATAAGGATCCCCAACGTTTGTCCACATAAGGGTCAAGAGGAGTTTGTGAGCAACGTTTGTGTCCAGTCAAGGGCTAAAGCATGCGATCCACAGTAGGCACAAGTACTGACATGAACACGCGCACCACGACACTAGACACGAAGAAACACAGCTAGAGGACACAACCTGACCGTCCTCCAATGCTTTAAAAGATGATGAAGAGAAAGAGGTGGGAAAAGGAAAAAAAATAAAAAAGAAGAAGAAGAAAGGAGTCTTGAGAATACAGTTGCATCAGGGTATGAGAGGTGGAGGACTAAGCGCTCAAGAGAGGGGAGTTTGTTACGGTCCTGCATGTTTGGCAGTATACAGTATGTCCATGTTGTAAACATGAAGGCCGGCATTCTTTACGCTCAGCAAAAGCAGATTCAGCGGAGAGATCAGTGAGCCTGCTTCCTATTCAGCATAACGATACTGATGGTACGTAATCGGTTACACATAAACAAGACAAAGACAGCAAACCGAAAGCGAATGTGAGAGACTATGGTGACACATCTCTGACTCAAATACAGTCCTACATTCTAGAGGTATACATCACAAAAACAAAAAAACAAAAACAAAACGACAGAAGAAGTGATTACACATGTGCACAAGAATACAAAGAAGAAATACAACGAGTAATAGAGGAGACAAGACGACATGTTTCAAAGAGGTGTCTTTACCTGCTGAGAGGCTCCTCAACACATTTTTGACAAGGTGGCGAATGATCGACTGAACTTTGGATGGTTTCCCTTTTTAAATCCCAGCGTTTTGTTCAAAAATAAGAACCTAACAAAACAAAACAAAAAAAACGAACCACAACTGTGTGAACGGTGCTCTTAAACTGTCTCTGCACAGCTGAAACAGCACACAGTTTCAGATGCGGTTGTGCATAAGGTATTATACATCTACACCAGCCATCAACAGAACAGATTAATCCCCATATTTAAAACAGAGAGCTAAGATTGTTGTTCGGTTATTACAGTCATACACACGAAGATGTACATTTAGGAATGAGTAATGTGTCCCATGCATGCAGACCTGTACTGTATATTGTATAATCCAGTGCTGTGTTTTTGCACCATGTCTGCTAAAGGGCCTACACTTCATCTATTTATCCCATGTACACAAGCACACACACATCTCCCAGTCTCTGTCCCCCATAGAACTTGTCCGGTGGTTGTGCGACTGTGGTGAGGTAAAAAGGAAAATTTAAAAAAAAAAAAAAACTAAACTTAATCTCCTAAATGTGCTATAAGTTTACCTGAGATCACATTTGCCTCATCATCTGGTGTGTTTCGTCACCGTTCCGCATTATTTTGGCTTTTGCAGAGTCAAACAGTGGCGAACAATGCAGGCAATTGTGATCAGGTACTGGCAGTATTTGTGAAAACGCACTGAAATCTTGTATTTAAAATTATTCTCAGTGCAATTATTTGGTCACAGTCAGTGGCATTAATGGGACAGTGAATAAATATTGCATTAGACAATGTGCGGCGGAACGCGGCGCATTGAGGACTGTTGCCAGAACAGATGTGGCAGTTTCTGTCAGAAGAATCTCGGCGACTGAGGTGAGCTTAAAGGAATAGTTTGGCCCTTTAGAATCGTTTCTAATTTGGTTTCTCGCAAAGAGTTAAAAAGAGGAGATTGACACCAGCCTCTTATCTGTCTGTTAAATATGGAGGCTAGAATAAAGAAGACTGGAAAACAGGTGGAAACAGCCAGCTGGACTCTATACAAAGTGGAAAAAAATAGACCTAGCGCCTCAATTTAACACTCGATGTACCATTGTCTAATCTGTGCACAAATGTAGAAACGACAAACAGGGAGCAATAGATTGTGCTGCAACAGCTGACTTTCTGGAGTCTTTTCAGATTGGATTGAGCTGCAGAACTGCTCGTAGGTGGATTTTTTTCACACAGTAGTTTCTCCCTGACTTCCAGTCTTTATGCTAAGCTAAGCTAGCCACTTCTTGGCTCCAGATACATATTTAGCATGCAGATGTGGACTTCTGGTCCTCTTGTGTAACTCTGGGCAAGAAAGCAAAATATGCAACTATTTCTTCAATTTTCTTTTATGTGCACGACATAAAACATATGTCCATGTTTTCAATTGTTTTCTGCCTCGTGTTTGTGAAAATCATAACTATATGCATAGTTCTATGGGAGGGATTCAGGCGTAGAAACTTGGGTTCCACTGTTCTAAAGTTTCTCTCTTTTCACTTTAGCTTTTGTTGCTTGAGCAGTTTGCTAAAAAAAACAAAGAAACACAACAAAGACCGTCAGCATGAGCCACAAATCACCAGTAGTGTGTCATTTGATTGTACATGAACATTCTTCTGCTAAACTGGAAGAAGAGAAACATCAGAAGAGTGACCCAGTTTGATTCATAAATTGCACTCAGCCCAAGATTAGAACACACTCTCATATAGATATATATTTATATATAATTTTAGCATTATTATTGAGAACCTATTGTGATATTATATCTATCATTTATACTATCAAAACAAGGCATATACATTACTAATCACAATACTGTAAAATCAGCTACCTCTATGAAACAAGGACATCAACAGCTCTGAAAGTAGAAAAAGACACACTCACTCTACTAAACTCACAACTGTTCTCAAAGCTCACATATACACTAAAATGGAATTTTGCCTTCTCGATGAACAAAGACCTTTGAAAGGAATGTAAAAGAGAAACACTGGCCAAGGAAAATGAAGACATGTTAGATTTTTTTTTTTCTTCATAAATAAACTCTAGCTACTCAGCTGAGCCTCTAAAGAGTTAGTGCTTGAGTTTTATGGCTTTAGTTTTATCTTATTCATTTATCTTGTATACACATACACGTATCGAATAATAAACACAGTAAAAGAGACACAGCCGTGAAGAGTTTCAGGTCATTTAAATACAAGAGAAAAATAAAAACTTCCAAGTAAAGTAGGAGAGAAGAAGGGATTCCAAGTCATTTGTGTTCACTGGAATGGGATTATTCATCTTTTTTTGGCCCCTGGAAATACATTTTATATAAAGATATGATCCAACAGACTTCATTCTAGGTCAGTACTGGCACAAATAACGACTCCTACAATCCACCTACAGATCACAGAATTATTCAGTCTTTATCTGATTGGTTGTTTCAGAATAACACCGTGTCAAATCCGCTATTAGAAAATAGTCATCTTATAGACTTGGAGATCCCCTGTTCCAAACATCAAAACATATTTCTTTTTTCTTTTTTTTTTTAACAAAAGCTAGAGCATTAAAATTCAGAAATAACTCAAACGTTGGCCTTCAGAAAGGTGCTGAAATGAAACGAATGGCAGATAAATGGCGTCAAATCAAAATTTTTGATCACAAGGAATTAGATAGCAAGCATGCGGCTACATTTTCATCCTACATGAACTCACACACAGTACTGGACGACACACTTGCTTAAGAATTTCAGGCGTGGAAAGGTTCTTATTAGTAATAGTACTCTAATATTTGTATGACATTCTCTCCAATGACCCTCATGGAAAATAAATACATATTTGTTTCATTTAGAAAATATACAGTGCATCTTTTTTTTTTTTCCCTTCGTTGTGTTATTAAAATGACAAATGACACCCATTTACGTACACGAGATATTTTTGCTTCGTCTCTAAAACATGCTCTTATGTACAGTATTTTGTATAAACATGCAGTATCAACGTGTATGAACTATGTATATAGGCAAAACTACACACCAATGGGTTTGCTTGATTGCTTCCATGTTGCCTTTTCTTTAGTGTTGCTTCATCAACGGAAGAAAAGAAAATGATGCGAGATGACAAACAGAATTCTGGTCTATGAGGGCTATAAAAGAAAAGACTTACAACTTCCAACAGAGAGAAAGATACAATTGCCAACATTCATTAAAATCCCAAAAAGCTGTGGTAACGTCTAAAAGGTCGACTGCATTTGTTTTACTTGCACACAAGTCAATGGGTAGTTTTGCTGTTTGTGCTCTCCGACAGCATTTTGTTTAGACCAGCAATGAGGTCTAAACACATATCAGAGCTTTAACTAACAAGTAAGCCTTCATTAATTTATGCAGGGCTGATGGGTTTTGGTCAAACGACGTTTGGATTTTGTAGTGAGACAAAGTTAACCCTTTAAAATTCCTCTTCAACAGAGTATACATTTGCAAATATAGAGAGCCAAAGTGACACTTCTGGGTTAAGGTAAGAAAACTGTGTTATATTTACACAAAAAAACAACTTAACACTGTTGTTTTGTCGATATTTAAGTTTTTAGTGATGCTAAACAAATACCAACTTAACATTTGCAGGGTTAATATTATATCTCGGCAGAATCTATGAACACAAAGCTAAGAAAGAAGAAAGACGTTCTAGTGTGCAAACCTGTAATTTTTCATGGGAGCTGCACATTTTTCTGTGCTCATAAATCATTATTCATAATCATTATTTGACTTTGTTCACGCCATAAGGAAACCCGTGTAATTAATTTACCTCTGGATTCAGAGAGACATAAAAGAAACGCTGAACAAGAGATCATATTGAGTTGCAGGAGCTAATTCAACAGAGGCCAGCGTGGACGTGACTTCGGCTCTCTATACTGAACATAATACATTCTGTGAAGGAGCCAGGGATCAGCACTGGATTGAAATGTGTCTCTCTTCTCATCAGAGGAGTCCATTTATACGAGGAGACCTGTCTGGCGTGCCACATGTGCCACAGAAAAAATTCAATCTCACAACATTTTATCACAAAAAAAAAGAAGAAAGAAATTACACAGATCAAAGAACAGTGTCAAATTACCACAGAACAGAATAATATCCAGTAGTGCAATTAAATTCAACAGTTTGGTAAGCTGTGTATAAAATACACATGGATCAGTGCCTTCTTCCAGACCACATCCTTGCAATCAAGTGAGAAATGTAATGTCCAAACGATTGAAACGCATACACAAAAAAGCTGAGGCGAAAGAAAGCAACAAGAAGCAAAAAAAAAAACAAAATCTGTTCATAATGTACTCCAAAAAAATTAATAAAAAAAAAAAAAAACAGCAGTTATTCCCAACGTAAATAATTAAAGCTCTGGTTTCTGAGCGCACCTAAACATAATATGCTGATTTAAAGTGCTTAAGGAATAAAAGTGTTTGAAGTTAAATGAAAATAAAATACAACTGGATAGGTAAAAGGAAAATAGAAATAGGATCGGAAAAAAAAAATAGAGGAAAGAAAGAAATGAAGAGAACAACACCGCTAACTGGAAGGCGTCCCTGGTAGTTGAAAATTGCTTATTTTGTTACTTGGAAGGCTTGTCTCCTTTATGACTGTAAGACGGTTATAGGGATTCCTTTGAAGTAAAACCCTTGTGTCAAGTCCATGACTAATGGCAGTAGCACTGAACAAGTGAGATACAGAATCAGAGGCGTTGGGAGGGGAGGTGGTAGACTGCAGGCAGTAATCGACACCTTGTAAATATCATGTCATTGGTGGTTGGAATCAGTCTCTGTTGTACCCGCTCTGATATTTCCACGCTTTTCTGTTGTTGTTCGGATGACAGACGCAGCCTTTTTTTTGCACAGTCAAAAAATTACACAAATACCTTCTCTTTTTTTTTTTTTTTTTGATACTGAAAATCCATTATTTCCTCCCTCTCCCCTGACACACCATTTCATGGATAAACTAACACTAGCCGCAAGCCTCAGGTCACCGAAAAAAAAACAGCGGTCAAGCTTTTTGAATCCGACATTTCTTTCTCATCCAGTGGAGTATTTGAATAATAACAACCCGTTTAGAAAAAAAGGCATGGAGTTTCCATTTCCTCTCAGTTTTCCTGAGACGATGGGTGGAAGGTTAACTAATTAAAAAAGGCAGTGTGTTTGTGGGTAACTGGATATGTGCCTATCCCTACTTTGCTACCCAACTCTAGGAATGTACTTCAAACGAACAGAATCATCTAGTATGATAACTGGCAGGTGTGGAACATGGTGCACGATACACCTAAGGAATGGACCTGCTTGTGTTATTCCTCTATCATATGGCAGTATAAAGCATTTTATTATTATTAAGCACTATTCTAAGCAAACTGTGTCACTAAAGGGAAGGGGTGAGAAGTACAATATGAGTGAATGTATGTTTTATCCCCTCTATCACCAGATTCCCATATACCACTCGTACTGTTCTTCATAGTCTACTCTGTATTCTTATTAATGGAACCACAACCCCAATACAAAAATAGATCTAAAGGAAATCAACGGAGTATCTGTCCATCCTGTAACTTGTCTTCTTTTTTCGGTGACATGATTTAATTATAACATGATGCTTTTTTTTTTCTTTTTTTTGTTAAACTATATTTCCCATCATGTCGAATGGTATCTATGGATCTTTTGAAAGGTGGCGGTGGGAAGGGGAGGCGGTGGAGGGAGCAGATGTACAGTTGGGGTGTTCTTCTGGAATATACATTGATATGTGGGACCTGGGGAAAGGATGGGAAATGCATGGGTGGGTAGGTGTGGAGGTTGGTGGGAGTTTACTTCTTGGCAGTCAGGGCTGCGAGGGAGGCATCCACTTCTTCCTCTGGCTGCAGTGGATGCCACTGGGCGATGGGACGACGGGGGTTGGCCAGCATGTCGGACCAGTGTTTCAGGCCGGCCCCTGTGGACTTGCTTCCCACCCAGATCTTCCCAATGGCATCGTTCTTGCCAATCTTGTCATAATCCAGCACTGTGATCACAGCTTGGATTTTCTGGGAGAAAAGGGAGAACGCATCGCAACAAGGTTCAGAATTCCATGAAGTTTGAATATCAGGGGTGGAGGGAAAGTAATTTCAGTACTGTTACAGTGCTTTAAAACGTGTTCACCCACGCTTGAAGGTTTTCCCTATTTATTGCTTTTCAACTTTAAATCACTCTACAGTTTAATGTGGCTTTTTGGCAAAACTTTAAAAGAATGAACCCTTCATATTAAAGTAAAAACAGATTTCTACAAAGCCAATTAAAAGAAAAATAGAAAACATACAATGAGTGACTGCATAAGAATTTACTTTAAAGTGATTTGTCTAATTCAACACAGGTGCAGCAAATTGGGGCTACAAGTCACACGATCAGTGAACTGGAGATCATTTGAGTGCAGTGAATGCGTCTCACTTGATTATAGTATAAAGACACTTGACTCCTGGCTACAACTACATCATGAGACAAAAGAAAACTCCAAGCAGCTGACAGGGTATTATAAAGCATACGTCAGAGGACAGATACAGAAAATAACCAAGTCACTAAATATTCCTTGTAGGGCAGTTAAATTGTTGTTAAGAAATGGAGGTAAAATGGCATATGTATAAATCTGCCCAGAGCACATCATGCTCACCAACAGAGACACTAGTGAGGGAGGCCACCAAGACCCTATGACTCTCTGGCGAAGTTACAAGCTTCAGTGGAGATCAGACAGACTGTGCATACAACTACTGTTGCCTGTTCTTCATTAGTCAAAGCTTTATGGGAGAGTGGCAAAGTGAAAGTCACTGTTCTCATGCCAAATTACAACTAGGAGGCATGCAAGAGACTCTAAATTTAACTGGAAGAAAGTTCTTTGGTCTGATGAGACCAAAATTAAGCTTTTTGGCCATTAGTCCAAACACTGCATTTGGCAGATACCAAACGCTGCACATCATCACAAACAGACTGCTGTGAAGCATGGTGGAGGCAGTATCATGATGTGGGGATGCTTCTTGGCAAGAGGCCCTGAAAAGCTTGTAAAGGTAGAGGGCAATATGAATGCTGCAAAATGTTGGGAAATCCTGCACGACAACCTGATGCAGTGTGCAAGAGATTTGTGACTTGGGAGATTTTTTTTATTTTTTTCCAGCGAGACAAAGGCCTGAAGCATACAACCACATTTACACAGAAATGGTTTAAAAGCAACAAGGTAAATGTTCTGGAGTGGCCTCGGCAGAGTCCTGGACCATAAAATTGCATTGTCCAAATGTACAAGGCTGATGGAGACCTATCCACCCAGGCTCAATGCTCTGATTGTAGCTAAAGATACATCTACTAAATGCTGACATGAATGGGGCGGATACTTATGCAGTCACTTATTTTACATATTAATTCACTGACATTACTTTTTAGAAATCTGTTTTCACTTTGATATAAAAAGTATATTTCTCCAAATCTTGTCTGAAAGCCACAATAAAGTGACCATGAATCAATGCTGAATAGCAATGAAAGAAAAACTTTTCCAAAGTTGGTCATTGCTTTTTATAGGCATTGTATTTGATTCACTTTTAGAGACAATTTCAAAACCTGAAATTTTGATATGGATTATTAATGTAAGACTTTTAATGAAGAATTTTTGAAAGATACTTCTAAAGAGGCAAACATTGTAGGGAGTGGTCACTGCACCACTCCCTACAGTTTTTGCCTTTCTAGAAGTATCTGTCAAGGATTGTAGCGGCCCTTAAGCCGCTTAAGCCCTTTGTATGCCTGGGTGGTGATGGCTGGGATTTGTTTGCATCTATTCTCATATACATTAAAATATAATTTGGGGTGTTTTTTGAGCTTGTTTGTTTTGCAGCAGAGAATACCCTCTCTTTTTTTGATAAAATAGGTTTGCATGATCAGTGCTCTCTGAGGTCACAAGTGACAATTATTAGATGTTACAGCAGTAAGTTTTGGGAAACATGTTTGCTTTCTTCCTGAGCGTTTGATGAGAAGATTTATACCACTCATGTCTGTGCATCAAATGTTCAAATGGCATGTGGTGACCCAGTATACCACTAAGACACTTTATGTTGGCTTTTCCTTAAGTTTTTTTCACTACATCTGTATATATCCAACACTTAACAAGACAGCAAAAAAAGCTAATTTAATAAAATGTCGAAATATCCTTCAAGAGTAAAAATAAGGTAACAATCATAAATGCAAACAAACTGTAAGAGCAAAACTCCTGAGTGTATGTAAAGGTCTTTTTCATGAATTTAACCATTGAATGATAAGAGGGACTTTTTGGACTGAAGACTGGGATCATGCTGCCATCAGATATTTTAACAATGATCTAAAAATGAGAACGTATGAGAATGTAGGTGTATTTTTAAAGATAATAAATTGCTTGATAGGCTGCATTGAAATTAATATATTTATGGTTTTCACACTAATTTGTCATCTGTTTTTCCACTTGGAAATAGTACTTTTTACACTTCTGCTCACTGCAGACTAGTGATTCTGTCTATAAGATCTGTGTTATTCTTTCCACCCCTTAAGAAACCTTAAAGGATTTGACAGAATTACTCCATGTCCTCACCTGCATTTGCTCAAGAGGAATCTCAAAGCTGAAGGACTCATTGTAGTAAGGATTCAAAGTGTTCTTCTTCACCGTCGTCTTCTTCTTCTTCAGCCTCTTTCCGTTCTGCAGCAGGTTAATTTTCACATAGGGATCTGAAAACCAGAGAAAGGGCAAAAATCAGGGTAAGCTGATAAAAAACATGTCTTGCACATGCATGTTTGGGTCGCAGTGCTGTGATGCACCAACAGATGGGGCCAATGCTGAAGTCAGGAGGAGTGAGTGCTGCTGCATGGTGAGTACTGCAGCGTCAGCACGTGAGCAAAACAGGACCGACCTAATGGCTGTGCTCGGAGGCACACTGCTTCATACGCTGCAGTCTCGCTGCAGGCAGGTGTCTTTTTGCCAGGAATTGACGACTGAAATAGCATCAAGTGTCAAAATGTGATAACAAAATGAGAAAATCGGATGCTCAGCTCTGTATATATAAAGTAGCCCACCTGACAGTCCACCCACGTCCATTTTCTTCAGGTTCTTAGCCTCCAGAATACAGATGGTGAGTTTGCCAGCAGTGGGGACGTAACGCAGGGAGATGCAAATGTCACCCAGCTTCTCTGGCTGTGAGGAGGAGGAGGTAGGAAGAGAGAAAGTTAAGGAGGTCTGAAACGGAGCCTAAATGTTTCCTCTTGTGGAAAATATCCACAAACTGTGTTTTTAAATAACATTTTTAAATATGTACTGCTTATAATACCAGCAGGAATTATACTTTAAGTACATCTAGTTGGTCTTTACAAGGTTAATAAAATATCTGGGAAAGCATGCAAAATTAACTGTATTTCTTCTTAAGATGGCTCTGGGGAGGCAGTTTCATTGATTAAAACTAGTATTTCATATTCCACGAGCTTAACAGTGAAAGCATCACATTACAGGCTGCGTCGCTACAGAGGGGGCAGAACGGCATCAGATGTATCGACAGCATACATGTCATTTGATATGTAGCAGGATATTGCAGAAAATAAATGATAGATATGTTTGAGGTAAAAATAGAGAAAAGTGTCACCACCACAATGTTTGCTTATCAGCTGAGGAAAGGGACAAAGGTTTTTTCTGACAGGACACATATATACTGAGAACTGCTTTGGAAAAAAGAAAAAAAAAATTCTCTTTAAAAGTCACCCTCGGAAACACAATTTTATTCAAAGGTATTTTTTTTATAATTGCCTTCTTTAATCTGGCACACGTACATTTGTGTGATTGTATACTGCAGATGTACTGTTTACACTCAGTGTCCAATTTATGCATGCAGGTGCACTTTTACAATCTTTTGCAATTCAATGCACAACCTTGCAAAGTTTATTAGGTTCTGTGTTTCTTCACAGTATTGGAGATTTGGCTAAAAAAAAAAATAGTGGACTATATTATACTGAGAGGTGTTTCTAATTATTTTTCCTCCCCATTTGCATATATGAGCAGAACGCTGGAAATACTTATGAATATGTGCAGTTACATAGTTGTCTTTTCCTACTATTTCATCTCCATTTTCCACTGTTTTCACTTTAATTAAGCTCTTGCCTTGTGCTGATTTTGGTAACTACTACATACCCAAACTGTTGAAAGTATCATTATTAGAAGCTTATTTTTCTACCACAAAAAGTACTGACCAATATTCACTCTTGTGTATTTTCTAACCTGGTGGTGAACTTTCATTTATGGAATATAGTGAAAGAAACGCAGCATGGTTTTAAGGAATCATTTGGCAATGCAGTAACAGCAGGATCTTTCTCTTTACCTCCTCTTGATCTGCGCTGTCCAGGTCTCTCCACTCCTCAATTGGCTTAGCCAGGTCAAGGGTGTTCATGGGTATTTTAATCTCTCCGATGACATCATGTTTAGAGAAGCGATCAAAGTCATAGACGGACATCACCAGAGTCTTCCCTCCCATCTCTTGGAATGGTATCTGAAAGACAACAACCAATCTAATTAAACTCATTTATACTGATTTTAACACATTGCAGGATAAATCACACTGTTGCATCATTTCATGACAAACTATGTATAAAATCGGTCAGATCAGAGTGATATTCGGTGTGACTTTGACCTGGAGTTCAGAATCGTCTGGCTTCCAAACCTGCTGCTTCAGCAGAGCTGCCTGACTTTGACGAAGTAAAGCTGTTTGATTTGTTTTTTTAAAGAGCTGCGTCAGCAGCCAAGGTGCACCAGAGGTGGCCCTCTCCTTTAATTTGATTCTCTACCATACTCCCCTTGTCAGACACCTTCAATATGTCTGTGCTTTTTTATCACGGCTGGCCAGGAGTGTTAATGTAAAAGAAATCAGAATCTAAGTAACTGCTAAGCTCTACAAGAAAGAGGGAAAAAAGCAGGAGCAGTTCACCTTTAGCAGGACATGTCGACATATCAAACAGTTTGACGTACATGTATTTTTAAGTAATAAGTAAAGGGCAACCATGTCTTAACTACAGCTTACCTTGAAGGTAAAGGTCTCATTGAAGACAGGATTGAGTGTTTTCTTGTGAACCTTTGTGTCGAACTTTTTCTTCTTGTCAGGGAGGACGAACACCTTGACGTAGGGGTCTGAGGTGCCACCGCTGTCCATGGAGAGCAGATCAGCTGCTTGCAGGATTCCCACAGTCAGCTGGGGAGTAATGTGCAAATAAATGAGAGTAAAAACCTTTTGTCAGGCTCAAACAAAACCAAATACATGTCCTTGGTCCTGTCTTTATTTTAGCATGTGATTCATACATATATGAGAGACCATTTTGACATGACATTGTAAAATAAACTACTCAAGCGCTTGCCTTGTTCTCTTGGAAGTCATAATCGATGGAGTACTGCAGCTTCCCGAGCTTTTCCTTCTCCTTCACTTCCTCCTCTTTCTCATCTCCAGTCAGTCCAGGTTCCACGTCATCTTCTTCATCATCATCATCCTGTTGTTTCTGCAATGACAGAGGGGTGACAGGCAGCAGAAAAGCGAGTGAGAGGACTTTTCTGAGGCGGCAGCTATGCTGAACACCAAACCTTGGGCATCAGCAGTCGGGTTAGTCACAGCACCTACCTGCCACTTACCCCCGCGTTACTAGTGCAATCTGTTCATCGATGACCACGGTTGCAACCTGACTTGATTTCACTATTTCTTGGGTGACACCATTTGCTGTTTTCTTTTTTTGTGTGTTACAGGTATGTAAAACCTGCTAAAAATCAGAAGCTGGCAATTTTTCCTCAACTACAAATGCCATTTCAGTAGAGCTCTAAGTTATTGTGCAAAAGGTAGAGAGAGGCAGAGACAGAGTGAGATTCAGAAGAGAAACAACAGCAGAAAAACAGTCAGTATACAGGGAGTGGACAGAAACATAGGAACAGCCTACATTACAGTGCAATCTAGTACAAAAGCTCTGCAAAACCTCTGGAAGTTCTCATTTTCACTTCTGAAAATAGTCATTGTGAAGCCTGAAATTAATATGATTTGACTTGTGTAGCTGCCAGGAACAGTGATATTCAGGGAGTGGACAAAATACCAGGAACGTAGCAGGAAAAAGGACTTTCACTTTGAGGGAAAAGCATCGAGGTCACACAGGCAGCTACACAAATCCCAAATATGACTCATCCCAAATGAGTCATATTAAGTTGTTTAAAAATCGTGATGGCATATCCCACACACAGGAAAGCTGTATCAGCAAAGAAGAGCCAATGTCAAGAGTAAGCAGAATGAAGAATATTATGGGATTTTTTTTTTTCAAAAACACACAAAAGTGAACTTTACAAATAAACCATTTATTGCAGAGCTGCTGCATTGCTAAATCACATTGCACTACAGTGCAAGGTGTCCTTGTTATTTTGTCCACCCCCAGTACAGGATATCCAGTTGAAAGCTGGGCGTCCTTACTAAGAGGAAGTGAAGGACGGAGCTATGAGGCATAGATGTGATTTGATCAAACCACTGACGCAGTGATTCCTGACACTTTTCTTGAAAAGCTCTCAAACTTGCTAAAACTGCAGGTGAAAACGGCCTGATAAGAGCCGCTGTGGCAGCTGATAGTGTAAGCAGCCTGACAAAAAGGTTCACTTGAAGCCAGACAATATTAATGTCTGCCAATTATCTTCTCCTGACATCCCAAAGTCTCATTAATGTGTTTACACTGGTATTGTTGATAGGATTGTGCTGCTGTTATTGTGCTCTGGCCTGACTGCTGTAACTCAGAGAATTACTGAAAGATTTTCGCAATTTACTCCAAAACAAAGTCCAGATTTTCCAGCTGATATGAATTCCGGTGCTAGAGCAAAATCCTGCAGTTCGCTGACAGCTAACTGCTCCTGAGATAATCAGGGCATGATGAAGAAGATAAATCAAATCTTCTGTTATCGTCCATCTTGCCTTTACATCACACCCAGTGACTCTTGAGTGTTCCATCTCTTTAGAGGCGGTCACGACTAATCAAATGAGAGTAATTTGCTCCGATATGAATATTAAAGTAAACTCCCATTTCGGATACGGTAAGAAGCTGGATAATATCTCAGCATGGCCTACTTTCCTATGGCTGTCTTCTTGAAAAAACACTGATGTCTTCGTAAGACTGGAGGGTCCAGCTACTCAGTGATGAGCTGGAAGAGGAACAGGGCACACACACAGATAATACACACACACACACACCATCACACCCTCTGCACACCATACTGCACTGCACACCATCACCACACACACACATCTGCTTACATGCAAACTCTCATGCATGCTTAAAATCACACTCTCTCTCACCCACGCACGCATTCTCACACAATATCTTCTTACGTGGCATTCTCTATCTTTTATTTTCATTCAAGCATGCCAGGCCACACAATGCAGGAACCGAGTTTATTTCTGATGGCGAATGTAAATGGATTCTCTTATCTCTTATGGTAAGTTTATGCTCTGATGTATTTTTTCTCAAACTTCAGCGACAAATTTTTGTGAAGCCCAAAAATTTTTTTTTTTTTTGCACTTATGCTCTGAGTGAAATGTACACATCCAAGAAGGGATCATGCTATATTGAGAATTTCCAGTTCTACTCAAACTTCCAGCGGGGGTTCAAAGATGAAGACACGGTGCGTCTGAATGAATGCCCTTTGGTCAACTGCGCGGGGGTGAAACGTGAGCTCGGTGCTGATGTTTTCAAGAAAAAGAATGCGTGTTCAAAAAACAGCCAGGTGATTGTAGCCTTAGCTTTAGATCAACAGAAATCAGGCCTCTGCAGTTGACTGCAAACACGGGCAAACATTCTGGCCCACCATTTCTCTTCAATGAGACCCAAGTGCTTCAGGGAGAGAGAGGGCATCAATGACTTGTCACCTTGTATGTCAGCAGCATGGGTCATCCAGGAAAGTTACTCTCAAGTCAAGTTGTGGCCATTCAATGGTACCTACTGCAAGGGCATATGCTGGTCTTTGTCAAGAGGCACAAACAGGTTTATCTGTCATGGAACTCGCAGCGTGTTTACACAACCGGGGTACGCCGTGAGAATTTCATACCCAAGTCAATGTGAGTTTTGAAGACTTCTAGTTTTTTTGGTTGTGCTGCACAATCGAGGCCTGCCAAGGTGGAAACATGCTCTAAGCTCTCATTTGGGCAAAGTTTCGGTTGCTATTATTTGACAAATACCCAGCTTACCCCTTGCACATGCATGTTAGTGATCTCTAGTGAGTTGCTCAGTGCACTCGTCATTCAAAGGCTCAACCATAGGATGAGTTTCATGTTCATTTCAAACCATAGACATTTAAACATTTTTTTTTTGTTCAGTTGATTTTTTTTTTTTTTTAATGCCAAAAAAAAAAAATTTGCAATCTCTGGATATTCAAGACATAGCAGTTGGTGCGGCATATCAGTTCAGTGGATTTTGCGAAGCAGCTTAATCGCTCCCATAGAGTCCTCAAGCACCCGCAGCACCTAAGCTTGCAAAAAAACTAAGGAAGCCATAGCACTCATTGTCATCATCATCATTGCAATCCAAACCCCCTCCAAGCCCACCCCCCCCCCCCCCCCCCCCAACCACAGCTTCCCCCCTGCCCTGGTCTGCGCTTACTCAGAGCGGCCAGAGAGGGGCGCCGCGTGCTATCAGACCTACCGTAGGCAGAGAAGTCCACCACAGTCAAGATACACGGAGCACACATAAGACACAAAGCAGGAAGGAGGAGAGCAGAGACAAAGGAAGAGATTGAACTCACAGCAGACACCAAAGAAGGGTAATCACAGCAAATGCAGTCAGCTACACTGTAGGGAGCGAGGAAAATGACAGATAGAGGAGCCTCCTCATTAGCACAATCATATCTTGTGCAGCAGGGCCATTGGGGTTTTAAAATAACTTCACCGTTAGATGTATTCCTTTTTTTTGTACTACATCAAATCATCAATCATGTGCGCGGCGTAAAAAAAATAATAATAATAATTATAGGCCCAAAACAACAGCATTGTGCTAACTACTAATTTTCATAATTACTCTTTTATGACTGTAAGAAAAACAATGGTCGGGCTGAAGAGATAAGAGTCCTGTCATTTTTCACTCGACTCCCAAAGCATAAGTGAGAGAAAGAGCAACAATAACATTCATGACAAATACATTAACTAACAAAAAAAAAGAGAAAAATTAAAATAAATGATAATCATGGTGGATAAAGAATGTAATTAACACCTGCGGAGAATACACTTGACTGGGTTAGAGTGACATCAAAACAGTCTGTGTTTTAAACTAATCTCGTACATTTCAAATGGGAAATTGCTTCCTTTTTTTTATGCAGCTGAACTAAAATATGTAAAATATGAACAATTAGCTGAGTAAAAGTGATCAAACATATGCTTTGTCCCAATACAGTGTTACACATGAAGCCTTCCAGCCGTTGCATAATGGGATCATAAGCAGGTTAAAGTTATTTGCGGATTGCCTCGCCTTCATGTAGGTGTAAAATTCCCCCCGGCCTCCCTCGGTGGAACATACCTCTCCCCCTTTCAAGTTCTTCATTCCCATGTCACCCTTCCCCTTCTTGCCCTTCTTGTTCTTCTTCTTCTTGCAACAGCATTTCTTGATGATGCAGAAGCAGCATGTTAGAATGAGTAAAGCAGCGACCACGGCAATGGCAATGATGGCCCAGGACGGCACTGAGGAGAACATACAGACCCATGTATAGATGGCACATTCACACCGAGAAAAAAGGAAGAAAAGAATCAAATACTTTGACATTTGACCGACCAATCACTTGGTCTACTTCACGTCATGTCCTGGGCCAAATATATTTAGTAAGAGGTGGTAGGTTAGCAATTAGATTGGGTGAAAATTAGATTTCTCTGCCATTAGGAAGAGCAGCCCATGATCAATACTGAATAAAGACATTACAGGAGCTGCCAACGCCTGCAGCAAAAGAGACAATCTAATTCCAAAATCATTGCTGAGAGTCACATCAATAAGAGTTGGTTGACGGTTGATCGGAGCAAGTTTGCGTTGACTCACGTGGGATCTTGTCGATTTCATTCAGGAACTTGTTTTTGATCTCATCGAAGGCATCGTTCTTGTTCACTGGTTCGGTGGAGTTGTCGGCGGAGACTAATGCGACGGGGGCTGGAGTCGCAGTCAAGGCACTGGCCCCCGTTGGTTTAGCAGCGACCATGGGCGTTGTCTGATGCTTTAACAAGTTCCACTTCGTCATTTAGGCTGCACACACAGTCCCTGAAAAACAGCGTGAAAACGGTGTCATTAGGAGAGGCCAAACCATCAAACCATCCACGACTTGTTCTCCACCTGCACATTATATTGTATCGACAGTTACTCACTGAAAGATTGAGTCACTCGACCAATTTTCACATTTTAGGAGACATTTGAATAGAAATTCATGGGTAAAAGTGACAACACACACAGTTAAGTCGCCAGAAAACAATCAAAAGAGGTGATGTGTTCTGGCTCCTGTTACAGGCTGTTTCGTATAAATGGATGGATGGGGTTTGGTGCATTACAATATAATGAAGCTGTTACAAAATTGGCATCTAAATCAAACACCGAGCAGAGCCACTTAATTCTCGTTTTTCTGAAAATTGCCTAAATGGTGAAAAGGATCCAATGGTGGCTGTAGCTCAGGTGGTAGAGAAGGACAGCTGGTATAGGATTTGTGGTTTGATCCAAACTCTAAACCCTTAACAATTCTACGTGTATGCTTGAAAAAACATGTCAGCCATCTAAATCCACCCAATCTAACATCCCTGGCATAATATATTGGTGACAGTAGATGAATTATTCACAGATAATCATACACAAAAAAAACTCTTCTTTGTGTTTCAAGCAACATTTACCACAGTTTGACTTTGTTTTTAAACTTGTTTTATGCCTGGCAGAAACTTTACATCCCAAATCTGCTGACGCTGTTGAGAGAATAAGCCTTCAAAAGGTGCAAAAAAAAAAAATCCATCTGCCACATCAACAAACACTGTCAGACGAAACAGATTTTGCAACATTTGCCGTAGATGTATCTTTAATGCAAAAGCTGGTGAAAGTCATGGAGGTTTGTTTACATCTGTAATGGTGTTAGTTGAGCTTAATTTATTTCAAGCGTCTCATTGAGATCAATAGTTGTTTTTTATGTAGAAGGTGAATAAATTACATCCATGCATCAAAACAATCACACAAAGCAATGCTCACACACACACAAAACTAAAAAATAATGACGACATATCACATATAGCATGAAGCGTCAACAGCTACAACTTTAAATTCCCCGTCTTGTTGCTTCACTTTGATGTTTGACCTTCACTGTGCAGATGTACAGCGTGTACCTTCGTCTGCAGCAGGGGGAAAGCACACAAAGAAGGTGATTTTGTGGCATCATGTTCAGTTTGGAAGCAAATTCTGGCCTAGTGTGCAATTTGGACAAGGGTGATGTGTGAATATGAAACTTCCAGGGTACGCACAGTCAAAATTAAAACTTCAGTCAAGTAGGGAACATCTGGTGTGCAGCAGTTAAGCTTTGGAAATGAACAATATTTGCATATTTATAGATTTGGGATTCTTCAGTGAGGGAAATGGAGGAGATGGAGAAAAAATACATGTATATTATTACTTCAAGCAAAGTATTTATTATATTTTAATAAATAATGTCGGAAGGGGACCTTTAAAGTCCCTCAGAGGAACGAAAGTCTTGGACCTCAATTTGTTGTTCATTTAATTACACTTTTAAGCTGCGTAGTGTCAGAAATTTGGCTCCCTCAGTGATAAACTACAGCATAAAGAAAATGTCATAGTGGGTTAAAATGAGGAAACATGACTTTAAAGCACACATGTCCTATATTCTTGCAAAAGATGAACAGGTTCGATAGTTCAATCTTTATATAAGCATGATAAGTATAATAAAATGGCTTTTTTTTCAAACTCATGACACATTAATTAACAAATAGATTCAAAGTGGAAGAAAATATGATTAAATTATAATGAAATAATGTAATAAAATACACTATAGATGACTAATACAGATATACTGAAAGGTGCACATGATGTAAACTGGACAAAAAGGCCCTTTATATATGTGTGTATATAGCCATAAATACAAATATATATATATATATATATACACACACACAGATCATTTTCCATTCAGTATGATTCTTTGTTATAAGGAGATACAGGCACCTATTCATGTGTTATCACACAGCAATATAAGGTAGTGCAAAGCCAATTGTAAAATAATTGCAACAAACTCTTGAAAAAACTAAAACTGCTTTAATGACTTTGGTTTTTGTAACATTCTGTGTATTGCCACCAAAGAGGTGCAAAATAATTTATTAAATGACTGATTATGGCTTCTACAGTACAGTCTGACATTTTACAGTCTTTTCCTAAAACAGTTCAAAAACTGGTGAGATCGCTGGACAATGATTTTTAGATCAGCAACCAACAATATTTATGAGAAATCACCATTTATCACACCTTTTGGTTCTCCAGATGCCGCTTCTGTGCTCGAGCTAACGCCGCCTGACCGGGAGAGGTGTAAAGAAACAAAACGAACAACTGCACACCGTTCTCCAGTTGTGTTTCCACAGGCCAAACAAATGTTCAATCAGAGCTCTTATCGGTTCCAGAAATCACAGTGTGACAAGTGCAGCTGAAAGCAGCCTGTCGACACAGTGATGAGTGATCGGGCGAGACCTCGATTCAGAAAACAGAGAAAGATGACAAGCATAACAAGGGAGGACTTGTGCTGTTGATTTTATTAAAGTCAAGGTGATGTGGGGAGGAAAAAAGGGGGAATTTCCTATTTCTCAAGTGCCAATTCTCCAAGTTGGTGCCAGAGATTCTGCTTCTATTTATTGCTGCATATAAATTATTCAAATTGAGGCTGACAGCGGGAAGGATGAGCTTATATTATTCAGGGGCCAGGACCAGTTTGTACATCTTAAAATATATGACGCTAAAATAACTTGCTGCTGCTGTTATGTAGGATGATGTTACCGACGTCTTGTGATAATATACCGAGATGGAAAAGTGAACTGCAAACGTTCTAGTTATTGAGAAAATTACTCAGAAATGCTTTCACCCATCACACTTTTAAAAAATAAGTGGGTTGTTCAATAAAGTAGCAATCACAAGCCTCACTGTATGCACTCTGTTTTATACATTACTGTAGATATTGTGACAATGTTAAAATCATCCACTTAACGTCTGCGATTCATGTGCATTTCATCCTGTTTGTCCCTCACATCGGGCCAAGCCACACCAATTCTACCATTCACGGATATGTGCTTGAGCATTTTATCTCCTCCACTCTGATGGCGACGGTGAGGACGGACGGAGAGGACACAGACTTACGCCTTTGTTTTATGACAGCCATTAGTCCTGTTTTCACGGCTCTCGCTGCTCAAAGACAATCAGCAACCAAACCACTCCTGTTTTGAAGAACGCTGCCCTAGCTCTCCAGATCCCATCTTTCAACGAGACGCAGATTTGTGAGGAACAGTCTGCAAACCGAGGCTACGAAAATACACAGGATTGTCTAGTGCAACAGACAACCCACTGAATAACAAGCAGGTTACTCAGCAAGCCTTCATACAGGTCATTTGTTCCTAAACTCTGAGTACGAGCCTTAGGAGGGTCTCCTGAATTAGCTTGCACCGATGACGCATCTCAAATCACAACGGTTTAGTCCTGAAATCTCTGTGGAATAAAGGGGTAAAAATTCTTAGAAAGAAACTTGAACAAAACAGAAAAAAGACAACAGGTCTACAGCCACATGCATCTCCACAAAGCTGTAGAAAATGCAAACCAGCTATCTTGTTTGCTGGGTTTACTAT